CTCTGAATTGGACGAATCTTGGAAAGATATGAAGCAAAAGGTTAAATTTTGATTGTGTAGAGCGTTCGGTTAATCAGCTGACTTACCTGTCAATCATTCACAGATAGAAAGCTTTTCGATTGGCATCGTAAACCAAAACTAAAGTAACTACCAATTAGAGAACAGGAAAGAACCTTGAAGAGCCAATGAGAACTCAAGGGAAAAACAAGGAAACCGCCTAAAGCGCGGGAAAACTCGGGCGACCAAGTCGTTATTGGGTTTAGTTTTCTATCTGATTGATTGAGAAGGAGCTGCGAGCTTTTCTTTTTCACCAATCACGGAGTCGGTGAAGCAAAACCAATACAATTCCAGATAACATTTGAAACTCAATTGAAAACTGGTCTAGCTTGCTATTTGGGAAAGGAATTAGCTCAGTGGTTTATTCAACAGTCAGCTGTTAAGTACTTATGTAATTGCGCTAACAAACGTTCCTTTTCTAACAACAAAGCGCCTAATTCCTGTTACTGCTTCTTCAGTACGCCAAGGCAGTGTCCATGTTTGGTGAGGAACCAAAACAGCTTCAGTCCGACGAATTTTTCGGTCTGTTTTCAGCATTCCTGGTTTCATTTGCGGTAAGTTTTTCCTTTCTTTCTCTAGTCAACTAGCGGAAGCTAGTGCTGTTTTTACATTCCATACCAGGTCGGCCAAGGCGAAATTTGTAACAGTAAAGATGTGTTTTGTTGTTTTGACCAGCGAAGGATAAAATTGATGTGATAGCTGACACTCTGGCTTCACTGCACGAGGGGCATTTTAATAAGAGTCAGGGTATTTTCTTGTCTTGCAGGAAGCAAAACATCAGAATGAGGAAATGAAGAAAAGGAAGGAACAAGAAGAAAGAAAAGCGCGAGCAATGGCTGAGGTAAAACAGATCTTTTTTTTTTTTTTTAAATTCCCTTGCTGTTTTTAATTTCTGTGGACTAGATTAACGTTTTTGACTCCGACATGAGATGAGTCCTGGTTCAAACCAAGCTTATGCAATTCACATTAACGCAGACATGAAAGTCAGAAATTTTCCATACATTTGCTCGGATAAATAAAGCTATCTAAACTTACTAAATAAAAGATTCTTATTTAGGGGTATAATTGTGGATTTTTAAACTAGGAACGTAGATTTGACAGGAAAGGTGGTTTTAACTCCGATGCAGCTGTTATTGACGAAATAACTTTTTTCCTATAAGATTCAGAACGTTGTGTTTTTATTTTTAGCAAAAGGAAAGAGATCGGCAAAGATCAGCGGCTAAGAAAGTCATTCATAGTAACCAAGCACCTGAAAAGAATAGTAAAAAGATGAGCACAGCTGGAGATAATCGCGGCGAATTCGACGATTTAATCTCCGCCCTACGAACTGGAGATGTGTTTGGAGACGAACTCAGTAAAATGAAAGGTCGTAGACGAACAGCGCCTCCGAAGCAGGCTTGGCGCGTTGAAAACGGTTCCGAACGTGAACGAGCTTCTCCGAAAGCTTCACCGAGGATACCACGAAAGAATTAAATACTGCGAACAGTCTTCTCTGCGCATGGTTCTCGGACAATAGAACGCTGTTCGTATTTCGCTGACAACGGGTAATTCTGTGTACGTAAATTTGGATCAGGGTGTTTAGAGAAACATAGTAGTTTTGTGTTGTGTAAGTTTGGTAGTTACGTATTTTATTTGAAAGCGAAATACGGCAGCTTTACAGAATGTCATTTTCTCCAAGGAGAAATAAAAATTCACCAGAGACAGTCAATAGAGTTCTCAAAATGAAGGAAAAATGAAAACACAAGACTCAAGAGTAAATTTCTCGAAGAAATTTAAAAGGAGTGAAAAAAAAATACTCTCTTAATTACTGAAACCAAGTTGAGGCTATCAAGTTTTAACTTCCAAGAAAGTCCTTCGTAAACTAAGTTTTAAGGCGTAGTTCTATAAATTGCGCATAACTCGGTGCAATTTGGGGTGAAGATGAAATGAAAACACTAATATGATGTGTTAGCAATAATATTTACCTCACAGGAGACTAGATTTAAATTTTTTTAATTTAATTTCTTGGAAGTGTTTAGGCAAAAGCAAAACAGAGCTTATAGCCGCCAGGACATCCGTGCCGTTGTGTTCAGTCCTGCGCCGGTTTCCCAGCCGAAGCCTCGTAGTTTCTTTGCTATATAGAGTAAGCAGTTGAGTAAACAACGTCACAAGAGCCCTTTAAGCGTCTCGAAGAAGGCTGTACGTGGTGAAGAGTTAGTATTTTTCTTTGCTTGAGTAATTTAATGCATAATTTCAAAGTTATTGTAGAGTCTGTCAAAACAAGGGCGCGTTTTAGACAGACAAACAGCTTTGTTTCTCGAAGTTTTCATTAATTGTGTGCCCAATTAATTTTAGTGTAGTATTTTTTTAAACTTACAGCTCGTAGTTGAAAGGCTCTTGCATGGCTGTGAGTAATTTGTTCCGATAGAGATGAAACTCTCGCAAACATGTTTTTTTTTTGTCAGAGAATGACGTTAATTCTTCTCCCAATTCGTAACTTGTTTAGGTAGTTCAACAGACTGGCAATTTGTTAAACTGGTTTAAAAAATGGCTGTCGATTGTGCGCGAATTTCCCGCCTGAACTGCGTGGCAACAGCTGACCAAACTATTGTCGTTCTGGTTTTTTCCCCGAGTTATTCTACACATGTCGTAAAGTGTACCAAAATTCAATAGATAAATATATATTAAATCATATTGTAACTTAAATTGATTCCAAGTTTTGTTAATGATTTAGCTCGAATATTATATTATGACTTGAGTTAGCAATTCGCTCTGGAAATGTTGACTAATTCATTTGATTGAGTAGCATTGTTATAGAGCTGTTTTCGAATTTCTGTATAGAAACAGACTGAAGTGAATAATTTCATTTGAGTTCTTTCCTCCTTGCCGTTTAATGATGGTGTTTTATCATTTGTACGTATTTAGGCTTTTTTTGTAAATTAAAGAAACACGCTACGTTTTTTCATTTGTAAATTTAACAAAGACAATTAATTTGAAGGCTGAATAAATGTGGCGAATGTATTGTGACTCGCATGTTTTATTTTAGGAACCTGGGGTTTCCAGTCTAAAATTAGGTATTTGAATTCCATAACGACAGTTGTCTCACACCATAAAGAATATTACTATAACCCTCTACTTTAAGAGATGATCCAAATTGTAAATTCTCCTTGCGATCTCAGTGGGTTACCTGCAAAGTTAAGGTGAGAACAGGCAAGCTTATTAGCCTGAAACTGTATTAATTTCACACCAGCTTTTTCGGTCGAGTTTGCAAGGATATGTACAGAATTTGGAAGGGAGAATTACTGACTGGATCCTAGTGGTTTATTTAGTGTGGCAACCGAGAAAATGAACGTGTGGAATCAACAAAGCCAAACCAAACTTTTCTAAAAAAAAGAAAGAAGAAGAACTTAACATTTAAGTTTTCCTAATGTATAAAATCCTTCTTCGCGCGGGTTATCCAAATCTCCGAATCTCATTTGGGAGTTACTACATCACGGGCGACGAGTGGGGGATGAAGAAATGGCCGAAATACAAGTGGTCAGCGGGAAAACAAATTTAATAATTCATATAGAGACATATCAGTTGTAGTTTCAGAAAGCAATAGTGTTGTAAAGCCGAAATGTGAACAGTATACTTCGCTCAATAAAATGTGAAACAATTTTCCAAAAGTGTTGATGGCACATATATCTTTTACTGCTATATTAAACAATACATTCGGAAAAGCACTAAGAAAAATTATATTTACGTTTTGTAACACGCAAAAAACAATCGTGTTGTAAAGACAAAATGTTACCAGGTTATACTTCGGTAATTCAAAAGTTAAGCAATTTTCCAAACGCTTTGACTGGAACAATATTTTTACTGCTATATTAACCAACAGAGGTATCGGTGACACCGGGAAAGGCATCAAGAAGAATGATATTTACGATAAGTAACTTGTTGTATGACGAAAAACAGTATCTTGACTTGTTTAAGGCATTAATCACAGTCGGTTTGCTTTTCACTTGAATTTTGCAATCTCGACTTTCGATTCCGGAAAAATGAAAAGCTAAGCAACTCTAAAAATATTTCGTTCCAGATTTTTATATTTTTAGAGTCATTAATAAGTTTGTATCCACAGCCTTTAGATAAGAAATTTTAAAATTATTTTATATATATTCAATCGCCTCGTTTCACGTGAAAAAGGCATGTAGGAAAACACTGAGCTTCGAGAAACAGCCAAGTTAAGGCTAACAGTATTTACCATGCTTAAATATTTATAATCAGGGCCACTCGTTTCAAAAGACCCAGGCGTTAAAATAATTCTGTTTTCCGTTCCAAGTGTTTTTTTCTTTTTTATTTAACAAATGAACTCGGAATGAAAACTTTCGAAGCGAACGGCTAATGAAATGTTGTGTTGGTGTCTCTGCCCCCCAACGTCTCTGCGGAAGGTACATCCAGACAACCTGCATGGAAAAACTGACCATAGCTATCGCACCACATTTTTAGAAAAAATCTTTAAAACTAAACTGGTTAGCAGCACTCTGCGAACGGTAGTTGTAAAATTTCTTTATTCTCCGACGCGTTTCGTTTAACTGTCGTAGACTTCTTCGGGGAGTTTTACAGTTTAACACTAAATGACTGTATTTATAAGCCATAGTTAGTGGCTATACGGGAGCCAATGACCATATAGGCTTGGCCGGACTTACGAATAGGAACTGGTGAAATTGCGGAAAATTTGAAAATTTTTTGGGGCAAGGCGGGAGAATTCATTTGGGGACCACGGTTTTGGTTTTCTTTTTTCGTCACGCAGCAAGTTACAAAACGTAAATATAATTCTTCTTGGTGCCTTTCCGAATGCCACCGATGCCTTTCCAGATACCTCCTTTGTTTAATACAGCAGTAAAAGACATATGTGCCATCAACACTTTTGAAAAATTGCTTAACATTTTATTTAGCGAAGTATACTGTTGACATTTCGGCTTTAGAAGACTATTGTTTTCCGCAACTATAACTGATATGTCTCTATATGAATTATTAAATCTGTTTACCCGCTGACCACTCGTATGTCGGTCTTTTCTTCATCCCCCACTCGTCGCCCGTGATGTAGTAACTCCCAAATGAGATTCGGAGATTTGGATAACCCGCGCGAAGAAGGATTTTATACATTGGGAAAACTTAAATGTTATGGCGAAGCGTGAGATCACACTGTCACATGACCAACGGTTTGCTAAAGTAACTGATAAAGCAATAGAGTTCAGTTGACAAAATTAAACCAGGGACATTATTGAAAAGCTTGAATTCTTTGAAAAATATTATCGACCAATACTTCTTTGAGAACTGTTTCCTTTTCGTTATAGAATTAAGAACTTATCGGCCATCATTTATTACTATAGTTTGTTGCGAGTAAAGCCGGTCATCTTCTTGTATCTTTATCAAATAAGCATGATTTTTTAAGTTTCAAGAATTTTCTTAATGACTGCAGTATTTCTTTAGAATTGAATATTTGCTCACGATCTGTCACCACTTGAAAAAAATTATTTCAAGTTTCTCTTTCCAATTTCGTTGTTTATTGCCGGACATTGCTACACTTGCTGGTATAATCACATGATTTTGAGTGTAAGTTTTGAAAATTTAAGGGAAAGTGATTTTTCGAAGACCGCGAGTGGGAGTTGTCTTGGTCAAAGGTAAACTAATAATTAATGACTGAAAAAACCTGAAATAAGCGCAACGACGTTTATGTGACGTGATACGGGTAAAGAAAGGATGGATCTCCCTTTGAACCCCTTAGAGTGACCAGCATCTAATTTCTCCTTACAATATCACCCCTTGATCAAACATTAAGGTCTCGAGAATTAAAAGAAATGATCAACAATTGAAGTTCTTGATTGTTAAACAAATTCTCCTTGTCAGTGCCTTAGGAAATATAAGAGAACAGTATGGAGAATATGCATACTGATGTTAGGGTGCAAAGGGTTGACATGTTGTTACAGTCTCTCGTTTGTCTACCTTGTTACGTGGGATACCTGCGGGGAACAAAATATTATGCACGAAGATTCATGGTAGGAGGGCGATAAATATGATGCGTATTCCATGCGATCTTTGCGTGTGATGTTATAAGTTGCAAAAAATCATGAAAACTTGATCTTCAATCCTCCATAACGCAAGCTGAAACTAAAGAAGGTCAATCAATTGTTAAATATCCTGCACGCTTTTGTGCTTGATCATACAGCTTTGACAACAAAATCTTATCTGATAAAGAAGCGATCCTCGCAGTTATGAACACGACTGAACTAGTAGTTGAAATAAGGCCTGCTTAGTGGACTATAGAGCGTTACTTCCTGATGACAAAAACCCAACCAGCATTGACCACAGATATTATTAACTGGTTTCAAATCTGTTCATTTCTTTTAATAAAATAGTGCATTTTAATATTTCTTGCGCCAATTTGTAATTTGTTCTTGTTTTTGGCCATATTTGTAGAAACAGAAGCTGACCGTTACTAGTTGTTTTTTGCCTCTTCCTCAACACGAGGCTATCTGATTGACATGGTGCATTGATGGCAATGAAATGGAAGGAACGCCATTCTTATCGCTGACTGTCTGTCACCTCTGTATCAAGATGTTCCTGAGTTTTAATGATGTAACTTTTCTTTGCTACCGATGCCCTACAAAGTAGAAAATGAGCGTAAGAGACGTAGAAAACAGGAGGGACATTTTTGTTTGCCTGAGTATCTACTATGAAGCATAACTGGTGAAGCAATATCTTTTGCGCAGCTTTGCAGTTTCTTAGACAAGTTTGAAGAGAGACTGGGTGTCCCGTTAATTGTACGCAAAGTACCAAATGTTATTATTGCTTTATAATTCTCCTTGCAATGTTGTGGTGGGTAAATGGTGTAATTCACGGGAAGAGCTCTTGTGCAACTTTTCCCGGTAAGCTCCACACTCCAGAAGCTACACTTTCTTTTAAAAATTACAAACAAAAAAAAAAAACAAAAACAAATTCCAGGTTCGTCATGCACCATTCACCGTTCCCTTCACATCTAAATTCGCCCCTTTCCACCCATCTCTTTTCTTGTCGTGGTGATTGGAATCGATACACCAAAATCAGGTACCCACAGGGAGACTGGAGACCATCTCTTCCGTTTAGCTCAGGGCAGATAGGTTTCAGTCTCCCCTTAATTCTACCACTACACCTGAATAAGCGCTTGTTCCCTCCGCTTACAAATCATTTTCCCGTATAATCTAACAAACCTCTTTGCTGTAGAAGGTTTTGCCTGGCTTTTATAAAAGCCAAGATGTCGGCATCAGCTCTAGTGTCACCAGTTAGCATCACTGATCCTGAACTTGAACTTGCATCACTTGTCGAACTGCGAACGATAAAGGGATGTAGCTGATTGAGACAATCACTTCGAAATTTTACGCCACTAAACAGAGGCAGGAACCAACCAATGCAAAGAAATTTAAACACTACATAACACAATGCATGTGCACACACATTAGCGACTTCCTTGGACTTGTCTGCTCGCTTAACCTCTGGGAATCAGTTCCATTTGAATCTTTTCGTGAAGAAGAAAGACGAACATTGACAAAGTCATTTCATCTTGCATCTACACAAGTAATTCGAAAGTAACTGATTCCTTCATTGTTGATGACGTCAGAGATAGCTGTATGGCAGACCATCAGTTGTCGGTGATATTCCTTCAGTGTTAGCTGTAAGGATGATACGCTCTTTGCACGTTGTATAACGCTGACGTAATTTTGTTTTACAGTTAATTTAGTGTGCTCAAATTATGCTCAATACATATCGAGTAGCTCCATACCCTGATTTACTTCGTCCAGCATGGCCCCCGCTCAATTCCTCAACCGCTGTTGCAGTAGCTGCAGATTGTGACCAGCTACTAAGGCCACCATCTGAACTTGAGGGGTGCACTGGGGGCCTACTGACAGAGGATGACACGGCTCCCATGGCTGCCAGCTGTGCTTCAGCTCGTAGCTTGGACACGAATTTTGCGGGTCTTGCGCTGCGAGAGGACTCATCTCGGGGATTCGACGTGTCACCCAGGTCTAAATCACGTCTTCGAGAAGCGGACGGAGGTCTAACGGGCGATATCGGAGGGGTCTTCCATGCTGCTCGAACTTCATCGGGTGTCTGAGGAGGAAAGTTTGGTTTGTAAATACAAATAGAATTAGAAGCAAAATAGTAATATCTATATCATATACAAAGTAGCATGGAATAAAGTTCTTCCAGGAACTTCTATCCAACTCCACCAAAATCTTAAACTCCTATTCACGTGGCGTACGATAATCATTTTCGCTCTTTGGTGTGATTTATGCTATAAGCCTTAACACATTAGTATATCAACATATTTAGATGGAAGGAAGGATACGAGGTGAGAGACAGAAGTTTTAAAACAAACCTGGTTGAACGCCGCCTGTTCTGCCCACCATATTTCGAAATCTTTCTGCATCTTAACTTTGGCTTTTTCCAGCAGATGTTGAAGATGCTCGATCTCAGTTTTCAGTGATCGAAGACGAGTGAAACTGTCCTTATATCTAAGGTAATTAAATGGGCAAAAACAAATTTAATTTAAGTAAGAGAAGGCTTGCTTACTGTATATCTGCTAGAGATCGTTACTCACTCTGTTGTTTAAGGTTCACGCACTCAGTAGATCTTCACCAACTACTACCAATCCTTCGTCTGTTGACGTGCAAGTTTATTAAAGCACAGGGCAGCACAGACATTCTAACAGTGTGGCCATCTAAGAGATGACCCCATCTCGAAGTCAAAAATGGTCACAAATAAAACCGCGGGAAAAGCTTGACCGATAGCAGACGCATGAAATCACAAGGTACACTTCACGCGCGGAAAAACGCGTGGCTAATGACAAGCGCGGAAAATCCGTAATCTGTGCTAAATACCAGGATAGTTTGTTCTGTAACAAATAGGGATATTCTGTCACCGATTTCCATCGAAGGCACTTCATACGAAATTTGAATTCACTTATTTGAAGACTAGCACAACTCAAATTCAACGACGAACGTAAGGCTTTGGAATATTCATGAAATCCACGCCATTCACTTACTTGGCTTTCTCTTCTTCAATAGCTTGCCTCAGGCTCTGCTCTACAGGGTCCACATCATCTATTCCTTCGGTGCCGTTTACAAAACCTTTAGGTTAACAAAAAATATTGTTTATAGATCATTGACACAAAGGCTTTTGCGAAACGAGTGAGACAGCAGCGGTACCTATTTACAGTGTACGTCTTGCAAAAGAACTTAACTAAGACAGTACCTTGCATCGATCGGCGAACTCTTTGTTGCTCGATTTGAGTTTTGATAGAATCTGAAATTTAAAAAAGTCACTTTAAAGATACACTCTGAAAAAGGTCACAAATCATGCAAGCAAGGTAGACGACTGCCTGTACATGAAGAGACGACTGTCTGTACATGGAGACGACTGTGATGTACATGAAGGGCGATAGTCGCTCTCGTTAGCAGACAAGACTTACTGATCTTTTGTCGCGAAGAATTCACTTGCTCTCCAAGCCGTTTGGCCTCTGCGTATCTGAAAACAAAAGACGCAATCAAATGTGAATATTTCTTCAATCCATTCTAACAGTGTGGTCATCAGAATGATCAGGTACAAGATGCTCTTAAGCTGTCAACTTAAATTCTCTGAAGAAGAAGTTAAAGGAAGAGCAGCAAACAATCAGTCCGAGAAATTACCTTTGCTTGAGTGTTTGTTTATTTTCCTCTATCGTGTCGTTGTGAGGATAGTCTCGGCGGAACGTCTCAAAAGCCTCTTTTCGTCCGACAGACATCTCATCTAGAATGTAGGACAAAACATTACAGTAACTGAAACAGCTTTTGCCGTTTTCGCCGAGGAAAGGAGTCTGCCGGAAACTTGCTCTTAAGAGTGGTAGAGATAAAAAAGTAGAACGCGAAAGAGGATGACCAATGCACAGAAGACATTCACGCATCGGAAATGCTAAACTTGTCATAAACAAAGAACATTTTTTCATCAAACGCTACAACCTTTACTATGATACATGTACTTTAAGTAATGTATCGTTTTGCCCCAATTTTTAAGGCCGTACCCTCGATGATTCTTTTTTCTGTTTTGTTTCTTATGAGTTCTTCATTTATAATAGTACGGATCAGAGCAGATGCTTGGTAGGGTTAAATAAAAGTAAAATCAGGATTGATTGCAACACAAACCAAGCTTTCGCTATTTCACCCACCAAGTTTCCTTCTGTAAGCAGATGGAGGTCTGTGATTAGTTGGATCATCACCAGGTGCTTGAGGGTGCTGACGATTCTAAAAGGAACAAAAGATAAAAACACGCATTGACCACCCGCAATTGAACCTCGCGCAAAACGCACCCACTTGAAAGAACCTCCATCAACTCGCAAGGCGGAGCCGCGTTTTCCTCATTTTCTCCCCAGTGCCTATAGAGTTCTAATTGTTCAGAGAAAAGCAGAGAATTAGAGAGATAAACCTTGGATTTCGTTCGGAGGGATTCTAATCGAGAAAAGTGCGAAATAGGGCGCCTTAACTCACTCCCGAGAACTTAAGAACAAACTCATAAAAGAAAAACTTTACAGATCTCTTTAGAGCTACGCGAATTCCTAATTTGTTGGCAGTGGATGAATATGTAACAAAGAATATTTCGCCCTCTCAACCCTCTCATTATGGTCGTATCGTCGTCTATATGTCAAACCTCTAATGCAGTCTGAAAACTTCCGCTAACATGATACGTTAATAGGTGAACACTCAATAATTTTTTGATGGGTAGGGAGGAAATATTTATTCAATCAGACCTCAGTGGTATCAGATGATGGCCTGTCTCTCACACGTGTTCTACTCGCAGCTCTCATCGTCGACAGTTCGTTCTCTGAGTCATCACTTTGCGGCTGACTGGCGCTCCGCCTGATCCCATCCGGTGCCGCGCCCATACCGTCCGGGAGTCGGCCGCCACCTTGCTTCTCTAACTCAGCCGTGCGCTTCTTCTCCTTCTTCAGCATGCCTACTAAGATATCTGAATAGTAGTTAAGTCAATATCTATTTTCAAATCATAGTGACAGATCAGATCAAAGCAGTGACCGTCAAAGCTCATTAGGAAGGATAAAATACCACAAAAACGTGTATACCAACGAAGTAACTTGATAGTGACATACTGCAGTGCCAACAACTAACGTGAAAGTTGTTAGTTGACAGTGCGCATGTCAGATATAAAAAGAAAGCCAACATAAAAATAAGTGCGAGCAGATAGGCGGCGTTTTGATTGAACGGTTTGGGTTTTTTTTGACAAGAAAACGTCGCCTTTTTTTACGCTGATCTCCAACGACATCGAATTCGTTATTGTGCTAGTTCTCGAATCCAGAAACAGTTAAGAAACAATTCACGTTGCTATTGTTAAATTTGCAAATTGTAACCAAATCCAGATCCTCGTGGTGCTACTGTTCACCAGATAGGTAGCTACTCAACCATGACTTGTAATTCAGTACCGGGTGACCACTGGTACCAGCATTTCATCTTCCTTATTACCTACTTTCATGCCAAGGCCCGGTAATTAAATGAAGCGATATATTCCAATCTCTTTTTTCCTTTAGCTGTTAATTGATTTGTTTGTCAAAGCATGTCCTCAAATGACTGGTCAATTCGTGACACCTCGACAAATCAGATGCAGAAGTAAAACCAACCGCGACTACCACTCGCCTTTTCCCGCGCAAATCACCAGTCACGTGAATTCGTTCTGAGTTTTCATTAGCTCCTTGCAAATAAACCTTCCCTCTGAATGGCCATTGTGTTAACTTTGGATTTGGTTCATGAAACTTGTCCAAAAAGCAGTTAATATGCTCTACAACATGTCTCACTTTTGACTGAGGACAGGAGACTGAGTGAATTATCATGACATGGAAACGTGTTAAGTTTACGATGCAGTTAAAGAATTAAGAACATAACCGAAATGAAACGCAGCTCTCTAAATTGTCAGGGCTTCCCAGTTTTCAAAAGGCACCTGTCACGGTTGACACCTTCGAATGAAATACTCTTTGCTTTGCTGCGTTTATATACAAGAACCACAAGTATTGATCGTGAAACAGAATACCAGTGATATACTTTGGGCACCTGGTTTTGCACAAAGGAATTTAGGATATCTCCCTCAAAAGAGCGTCTCGATTGATGTCGAATACCAAACTAAAAATTAAACACAACGACCAATCAGAAAAGAGACAAACACAACAAACAGCCAATGGGAACTCAAGCACACTGCCCGAAGCGCGGGAAAACGCGGGTGACCGAGTCGGTGCGTGAGGTCACACACGTTGTTTACTTTAGCCTCTCATTGGCTCCTACTGATGCTTTCCCGCCTTTTTTTTCGATGCGCAAAACTGATTATTTTAGCTTTTCTGTTCTTAAAAACTCAACTACAAGACCAGCACTAACACCTTTATGTTTACGGTGTATAATTTTATGTTTAGAATGCATGTTTTATTCACGTTTTTATTTTAAATCGTGAGCCTTGTCATTTTCTTTCTTACTGTTTTCCTACGAAATATTAGTTTCATTTATTCGCCTTTCTTGAAAAAAGGTTCTTTACTCATGTTACCCTTTGTAGACTCTCGTTAAATTTAACAGAAAATACAATTATTCTATAGGTTGAATTTTTGTTTTTAGAAAAGAAACCTTTTTATCAGCCACAGAATCCGACGCAATCACAGAGTTACCTAAGATTCAAAAGCGCCTCGCGGCAAGTTTGTTCAATTTGTAGCAATAATTTAGGGCGAAATGATGAAAACCTGCGATACCAACGTTTTATCTTTAAAAGACAACGAATTATTTTGCATGGTTTAGACTACAAAGCTATTCAGCTGCAAGGCCAACTTGGCCCCGCTCTTGGTGAAATCGCTCTCTGCAAAGACGGTCGAACTCTAACTCTCCGAGACTAAACAACAGTTGTTGACTTTTAAATCAAGTTCCAGTGCGCCCACTTTCTCTATTGAAAGCATTGAACTACACCAAGTGCTGCACGAAATAGACAATTACGATACAGATACGGCGTTCTCATAATCTTTTGCTCCGTTTACATGGATGTCGTCCTCCTTCTACTCCCGCCATCTTGTTGGGTTTCAATCACGGCTATAACTTTCTTTTTCTCTTGCTCTGCTCGATTCAATACCATCACAGCTTCGATGTAATCCTCCTCAGCTTGTAATCTTTGTTTTTCGGCGTCTCTGAGCCTGTCGTGAGAAGTGGAGCAGCGCTCTAACGCTGTTTTGTAACCTGCTATCACTTCTTTCCGAGCGATATCTAACAACCGCATTTGATGCCGTTCCGAATCAAACACAACATGACTTTCCAACAATTTGATAATATGCTTGTGAACATGCAAGTTATTTGTCATTCCAGCCTCGATAGCCACTCGTGAACGCCTGTGAATCTGCTTCAGCTCTCTCAGCGTAAAATTCTCCACATCGGCCGACAGTTTCCCGAGCGTGAGAGTCGCCTCTCGGTCCATCTGTCCGATAAACGCATCTTCTTCCTCGTGCGTGTTCGTGAGGTATCGGCTGTGCTCTTCCTTGGTCAACTTGGAACTCTCATCTAGTTCATCCAGTTTAAACAGGTTTGTGAATCTCTCCACAGTCGCGCTCGCGAACAACGCAACGCGGCTAGTCAATCCAGTAGTTTCCCAGTTCAGCCTTAGAAACACAGGTTTGTCATAGTTAGTTTTCCTAGCGATATTTCATTGCTGTTTACTTGATGTGCTGCTTGACCGCTTTGTTACAGAAGACCATAAATACTGGTTTTAAAGCAAGAATTTATGAGCAACGCAGCTCTCTAACGATCCTAAAACTTTTAAACCTTTTGGCCACAGGTTTAACTTTATTTCAAGAATTCGATCAAGGGCATAACACTTTACTGATGTCGCTACCACGCAAGGAACCGTTTTAATTACTTGATTAGAAGTTTATTGTCCATTGTTACGTTTTAGGTTACATTAAAGTAAAACTTGTGTTTAAAAATTGTGAATTGCAATGGTTAACGTTTATCGCTTTTAGAGATCGAAAGTAAATGGAAGGTTATGTGGTTATCACAGGTTAAAGTAAAGCAGAATTCTAGTCTTTTGTTAAGCGTTTAAGTTTTCACTAAAATAATTCATATTATTAGCGCTAAGTATCGTTTGTATTGCCCTACACACTATATGTAACAGTAATTACTAATTATATCTATTCCCATCCCTTGTTTACCTGACAATGTACCTAAGGCGAAATTTTTTTGATCACCTAAGCAAGCCTGTGCATATTTATCAACTGATGAACAGAAATTCAAAGGGTAAAGCAGAACTTTTTCGCACTCATCGCCAACTGTTTGCAACATTAAAGATTTGCCAGTTGAAACAAGGAACACAAACAAACACAAACAAACAGCGGATAGTCCCCATAAAAGAGCGTACTAAAACAATACAACATTAGACATGTCTCCACAGTTTACTCGTAAACATGTTCTATCTTTTCGAACTACCATTTCATGAAATCTCAATAAATTAAGAGCAATTTTGCGCCTTGCAGAACCGAACTCAATAAACATCGTAGAGCACTCCTTTAGGAGCCTAACAAGACATAGCCACGTGTGAGCCAGTTCATACAGCCACAACATAACCAGCTGTTATACCAATACCTCTTTTCAAACCGATGATAAAGGATATTGATCTCGTTATCTCGCTGTCGAATGAGCTCCTTAAGCTTGTTCACTTCAGTATGGTTGCCTAAGTAACTGCTGTCGAGGACGCCATCAATTGCTGGAGTCCTACAAGTGAGAGAGCGAAAGAAAAAGAAAGCATGATTCTACTCACTAAACTGCGCTGAGGTTAGAAACTACAAAGGCTCACAGAGCTGGCGGTTTTTTGGGAAGGCATGTGAGTGTAAATTGTCTTGCCTAAGAACACAACCTAACTTCCCGACTGGCACTCGAGCCACTGACAGCTCGGCTAGGTACCAGTTTACTCCAGTCGAGAGCACTGATCAACAGGCCATCATACAACGTTCATGAATGCAACTGCTTAGGAAACCTGAAACATACTGAGAAAACTTTACCTTTGTGGGGGAGGAGATGGGTTCTTCTTGCTCTTCTCCAACACGTGATTCTGCAGGAAGAAATCAAAGTATAAAAGAACAAATATTGTGCAAGGCGGTCGATAGGAACTATCCTAATGTTCCTTCGTTCTATCTACCGCTTTTGATAAACCGATCAAATGGTCCACACAAATCACAAACTGCAAACGGGGTATATATATTATGGCTCTACTAAAATTTAAGACTGAGCTCACAAGACTCTTTGATGACTTACTTTGAGTAGCTGGAAGCAGTAGTTGATCTTTCTCATGTCAGCTCCAACACTGAGGGATGATTCCGGATCAGAATCTTCGATGTAGCTTTTCACCATTCTGCGCAGTCTAAAGGGAAACAATTTGCTAACTTCATTAGATCATATCCACCACTTGGAACGTGAATAAACGCAAGCCTAAATGATGACTTGAGAACAAAAATACAAACGGCACCTATCCAATTCATCTTCCGTTAGCTCGCCAGTGTATTCTTGTCCTGTGGACATCGCAAGTTCATCTTTGAGTCTCTGCACTTCCGCCTTGAGTTGAGCAATCAACTATAGTACGATAACAAAACAAACAAAGATCGATATTGTTTACATGGAGCGCTTTTCGATTGACGAACATAAAATCTCACCCCAATTAGTCACAACAGCCGCTCAACAAAAAAAAGGGGAAAAACAATCGAATGGAGCTTTGTTTGAGAACCCAAAGTAAATACTCCTAAGCACATCGATCGAGCACAGAAGAGCCTGATAGACGAAAATCTATGAGTTTTGCAGCTAATTGGTTCAGAGGGAGTTGGGGGGTTCCTGGCCAAAAATACAAAGCGTAGTGAGTTAAAACCAAACTGATTCCGAATTTTCTTTTTGACTCTTGCAATTACTTTAAGTCAGACATTGTATATTTTCAACCACGTTTGCATTTCGCATTTCTTACAAGCAACACAAAAAAATACTGATGGACCTGATACACGCCAGAGTTCGAAGGAATAAAAGTCACAGCAAAACAAATTTCTTTCAATCCAATGAGCCACTATTTTCTTCCATAAAAAATAAATTAATTTTACTGACCAGTTTAGGATCAATCTCCTCGTTGAGCAGTACATCATTCTTGATCATGGCCACTCGCTGCGCAAATCTACAAGTTGAAATGGATTCCTATGGAACAAAAAAGAAAGTGCCCTCCATTCTTTCTTCATCTCTACACTACAGATGAAATCTCTAAGTCTTAAATCATTCAGTGTCTAAGAATATCTCTACAATGTACGGAATAAATATGACAATCAGTTAAAATAATTAGAAAGACAAAATATGGTTGCTTTGTCTCTTTGATAGCTCGTGCAGCACCGATGCGATCACGCTTCCTGACGATCGAAATTCGCGCACTCGTAAAGCTGTCGTTAAGTTCTTGTCTTGCTCTGGTCGACTTCCTGTCAAGCTCTTGTCAACCTTTCGCCAAGCTCACTTTATGTTCTCGTCAACTTTTTGCCGTGCTCCAACCTGCTTTCGGCGGCGATTTTTCGCATTGCTCTCCTAAGTTCGCTCAAACTTTCCCTGCAAGAAAATCTTCTGAGCGTCGAAAGCGCTCGTCAGATTCAATGCGACGATTCTGTCTTGATCGAAGTGACATAGTTCATAATGTTTTCTTCTTGTTTTTCTTAGCGACGCAACATTGGTAATAAACTGCACAGACATTCCAGTGCAGTAATGAAATATTGTAGACGAGAGACATTTAACGATAACGATGATAATAATGCAGCTTACATCTAAGTTTTTCCTATCAAGGGAGCAAGTTGCTATCATGGACGTCATGCAATTCCCTCCGAGACTGCAATGGAAATAACAAATAAACATAAGCACTAAATTTGACTTTAAAATACCATGGGATCTCATGGAGGAACTAATGCAACGCCAGATTCATGATGGGGAGAAAACTGAAAAAAAAATTTTGTAAGGGGGAGGGGAAGAGAGTCCAAATCAGTGAGTGGGGGTTCACATCTGCCACCTTACTTACTTTAGACTGGGGGGGGGGGGGTCCATGTCCGCTAGCGGAGTTGGACCGGGGGACTGACTCCGCCGGGACACCAGCTACCTTAACCAGTTACCTTAACAGCGACTTGAATTTTTTCAAAATATGTTCACCTGTCTCTGAGGACTGACGTCATCATCGAGTTTCTGTATGGGATGTGGCTTCTTGACTTCTCTGATAACGCCACTATCACCTGGGAATACAAAAGATTATTGAAATAAAGATAATTTTGTAGTCTGTGAGTTCGTTTCTTCATTCATCTGTCAGTCCATCCGATCATTCGTTCTTTTGTTTGAACTGCGTCATGCGATCTTTCGTTCTATCGTTCGCTTAACTGATCGCTTGTTTGTTTCATTCTTTCTATGTTACATCCTTTCCACGTTCGTTCGTTAACTCATACATCCCCTTATTTTCAAAATTTGCGTGACGCATTCACCTGTTCAAGGTAGTGAAGTGACAAATTGATATACTTGGCTTCTGTTAGCAAGGTTCCTCCGACATTGGTCTTGCCAACTCTCTCAGACCTATACGTACAAAACAATAGTTAAATAAATAAACAAACAAAGAGAGCTCCGCCAGTTTCTTAAAATGTTTCAGAACTACAGCGGCGTGCAATAACGTTTCATATCGTCTGTTTACCCTGCAAGGTCAACCAAGTGAAGCTTGGCTCGTCTGATGGTCGCTGATCCTGGATCACGGGTGGAGATATGGATGGTGAAAATACAATGTGATCTGGTCGACGCTTGATTCATTGGTGTCTGTAGTGTTAAAAGGTTTACAATCGAAATAAGAAATAACCGAAATACGAAAATGATCAGAAGAAAAGGTTATACAATCGGGAAATGCTGTTGCTCTCATTCAGTTATAATAGTAAAAAGTTTGTAAAGAGGGACGATTTTATACCTCAATCGTATTACAAGTTCGTAACAAGGTGTACGGGATTAGTGATCAAAGGTGCGGGAATAGAGGTCAGAAATGCGCGATAAGAGAAAATTAGAGGACGAACAGCACTTTTTTCCAGAATCAAGGATCTAACTTATCAGATGATCTAATAATTCTTGTGCACGTTGTTAACGATATCTATAGGTTTGAGAAAACTGGAAAATCTTTAAAACGGGCTAATACCACGTGCGCATGTTCTCTTATTAAAAATATTGCCTCACAATACAGTAACTCACCTCGGCTATCATCCTGTTTGTGTCCCCAAGAAACAACAAATTGAGAGCTAAAAAGAGCAAAAATAGAATCAGTCACTAAATAAATACAGTTAAGACACACAAGGCAGTTCGCTCAGAACTAAATGTATGCTGAAAATCATGCAATTCTTCAACATTGTTGCCCATCTGCGGCACTTTAGTCACTAACAACTTGATTGAGCTCCATTTTCCGTGTATACAGGTTAGTCACTGACGCATTGTACACACTGCCATCGTTCGGAAATATCTCCAGTAACTTCTCACATCAGTTTACAGGAAGCTTCCTACTTAATGGAGAAAACTGCATCTAAACACTTCATCTCACCTTCCTCTTCATTGCTTGCTTGGTGAAGGGAAAGATTCTTGAGATGGACATTATTGTCACTGTCTTCAAATAAGTTTACTTTGCTGTGGAGGAGAAGAAAGCCTGTCAGTTAACCATGTTCACAGACCCAAGATTGACCAGAAATGAATTTCTCCTTGCATTATCAATAAATTTCCGAGCAGAAAGATGCCAAGAATTAAAAAAAACATCAACTGGAGGAAAGTGTTTGATTTAATACCATATTCTCAATCGAACTAAAATTATAAGATTATTTTCATACTTAGTAATAAGTAAAAAAAAAGATTTTGTTAGTTTATTTACCCTAAAAGAAGTACTAAAGGTAACTAACATTGGCTTTTTTTAATCACAAAATCATCTTAACAGTTTTTCCAAAATTTCCATCACTTTAAAAAGTTGCCAGAACCCTTGAAACCATTCAGAAATCAGCCAGCTGTTACAAATGGTCAAGAGGTTGCATACTAAATTTGCATAATTTTGAAATAATAGGCTCTCACTCACGGTAAATCTTCCAGCTTGCAAGCCTCATGTTTGGGGTCCAAAAGATCGTACCCATTTTCATTGTAGATCTCAAGATAAGATATATGAGCAGTGAACACTGTGCCTGGATGCTGGTGACAAAAAAAAACCTATTACCTAATGGATAGCTTGCATTGTTAATAGTACACAGCATGACAATTCTGCATTCTTATAGGCTAATGGAGCACATGCATCAAATCCCAGATAAAATGCAAAAAGTGTGCAAGGTAATTTAGTAAGGAAAATTAAAAACTCATAGACTATTTTAATTTGATAAAGAGGAAGTTGCCATGAAGAATTATCAATATTTAACATTGATGACATAACCAAACAACAAACAAAGTTACCAACCTTCTCAAAATACTCAAAGATGTAAGAAAGTGATCTTGGAATTAATCCTCTATCAACGTAACGCTCAGCGCCTCCTGTGATTGTAAATGTCTTACCAGATCCTGTCTACATGCAAGATAAACAGTAACTGTTTAGTTTATGTAACATTTACCACACTGCAAAAGCACAGCCACACCTTGCAGATATGCATGGAGCTTATGGAAAAGAGCATGATTATCATATCATCTTGAACACAATCATGCACTTAGTATATAGCACATTTCAAATACTTTAGGTGGCTAGAGATAGACCATAAGGATGGCAAAGATACTGTAATATTTGTGGGCCTGTGTTCATGTACCTGACCATATGCAAAGATTGTTCCATTGTAACCAGTCAAGACACTGAAAGAAACAAGCCAACAGCAACTCAGAAATAAGATATTAACTCTCAGTTGGAGCATCATGCATTGTACAACTAATTGTACTCCTCGTAACAATCTAAATATTAAGATACAAGTACCTTTATATTACAAACAGCCTGTGATTTTTATTTGACTCACCAATATTCTTGACAATGCACTTTCATTCACAAAAGAACAAAAATTTCAGCCTGCATGACTGTATTTTTCTCTTACTCTGTTCAAATGAACATTAAGCAGAGCTATTCAGCATAATCAACTTTAACCCTTTACACCCTAACATCAGTATGCATATTCTCCATACTGTTCTTTATACATCTCCTAAGGTGCTGACAAGGAGAATTTGTTCACCAATCAAATACTTCTTTCATTGGTGATCATTTCCTTTATTCTCATGACCTCAACATGTGATTCAGGGGTGATATTGTAGGGAGAAATTCAATGCTAGTCACTCATAGGGTTTAAAGGGTTAAGACTGAGACACAATCCAATTATATACACAGTATCCTTACTTGTCTATAACTCCTTGTGCAACTTCTTCAAAAACCTCATCTTGCTTGCAGTCTTGATCAAACACTTTATTGAACCTATTACATTTATTTTGAACAGAAACAAAAGTTTATGAAATTACATGAGTAACTTAAATACCAACAACGTAGAATATTGCAGAGCAATACTAACAATAAGGTCAACTATGACAATCTCTTTGAAACTCTTAATAATGATATTGAATGATGTACTGTAATTTTTGTTTTGTTTTTTTTTTTCTTTAAAAAAAGCCCTCATTTTCAAAGCAGTTGACCACATAAAATTTATAACAGGGGTGAGGGTAATTTAGTATCATCAACTGAGTTGATAACATAAATATTGGCCACCATAAAGAGTTTCAAAGCTGACATTTCCAGCATTAGCCCTTTGTCAGAGGAAATCATTTCAATTTGCAATTACAAAGGGCTAACACTCAAAAATGTCAGCTTTAAAACTCTCAACAGTGGCCAGTATTTAAGTTATCAACTCAGTTAATAATACTAAATTACCCTGTTATACTCTCCCACCAATGCAGCAACAGTTTACTTGGAAACTTGGATCAATATCAGTATCTGGGCAACTGCCCACCTACCCCTCCCCTAACCCAACAACAGTCAATTGACAACAACTTAAGGTTAATGTTGGGTTAGGGGAGGGGTAGGTGGGCAGTTGCCCAGATACTGATTTTGATCTGGAAACTTAACCCCTTGACACATAAAATTTGTGTCTAAGTAATACATGGGCTGTGAAAAATTGTACCCAGTGAAAAAACAAAAACCAGAAAGGCAATTAAGGCAATAAAAGGGCATGAAGTTGGAACCTCACTTCAAACTTAACATTTATAAAGCCTCTCATTGCCTTTTCTGTCTTGGTTTTCTCACAGACATAAATCTCTTTGCCATCCAACAGTGCCATAAGGTACTCGCATGTAGCAACCCTTTAAATGCCCATGCACTTGAACTGACAAAGGATGTTTTTGCTGATGATTTCTTTTAACCCTTTAACTCCCATGAGTGACCAAGACAGAATTTCTCCTTACATTATCAATACAATATCAACCAGATAAGTGATGAGAATAAAGAAAAATATTAATTTGTGGATAATTGGTTGATCCAATACTAAATTCTCTGAACTAACATTATAAGAATTGTATGGTTCACAGCAAGGACAATTAAAAAATCGATCCAGAAGTTAAAGGGTTAAGTCAGTAGCTCTTGTCAAAGTCATTTGCTGCAATAAATTTACTTGCATGAAGCTGTTTGCAGAAACTGGAAAATGACACCTAGAGTCTAGTAATTTTAGCCAGGAGAGTCATTCAAACACAATTTTGGGTAACCCTATTTTGAGCCTTCTTTCTTAAGGCTTTTATTTTTTGTATTTTGCTCATACATGTAACACTCCCCAAAATATCACCATATAGCACCTTTTAGTCTTGTTCCCACAGCACTGTATCAAATGGATTTGTGTTTGTTTTAAATATCACTTACTCAACAGGTAGATCAGCTACCAATTCCTTATATAAATTAACTACAAACCTAAATTTATAAACTTCTCTCTTGTTGTTGATATAGCCATCAGCTAGATCTTTAGGAACAGTGAAGGAAATAGAAGAATTTCCACCCTCATCTTCGAAAATTTCATAAAGCTTAAAAGCAGAAAGCAATCTATTAGTTCCTTAAAAAAGAATTAATATTTCAAAGACTTAAACGTCAAGTCAGGTGATGTCTGCTGGTTAAATTTCACTTCAGTGGGTTTACAGGAAGTGATCCATTAAAATCAGAGAAAAACCAAATGTTTGGGGCATCAAAGAGAATTTTGTTTAAACCAAATTAGTCAAGAATCAAATAAACTGACCTAAATAATTGAAGAACATTCAGAGAAAAACGATTCTGTAAAATCCGTAAATTTTTTTGAAACACAAATTGTGATAGTTTCAAAGTTAAAGTGGTAATTTATAATCCTTCACGAATGGCTTGCACAATACACTTTTTCAAGAATTATTTCTTTATGTAAAAATAATAAAGGGATCTCGTTGTAAAAAGCTGGGGGTAAGCTTATAATTAGTACCGTGCCAAAAATCCCCCTACAACGTTTTTTAACCTGTTGTAAATTTTATTTTCTAATTTGGATAATTTCAGATTTCCTTACAAATTATCTGGACAGTTCATTCCTTTTTTCATTTTGTATAAATAGGCTTATCAAACAATAATGGCAACAAATTATCGAATCTTGCTTAAAATGAATCAACATGTACATGTAACTGGCGGCCATTATTATTATTATTATCAGTACAAGCTAAGTTACCCCTGTCTTTTGCTTCGTCGGCTTTGCTCTGGCGTAAATCTGGATTCCTTGCTTCACCATCCTTCATGACGATTCGAAGGGACTTCTTTACTCACAGGAATGTGAAATACACCAATGTTATGCAAGTCAGTTTGTAGCCTCTCTCTCGTTGCCTTGGTTGTCGATGTCAGTGCAGTGAGAAATTTGTGAAAGGCCAAAACTTAAAGGATTGGGAACGACAGGGATAAATATGTCATGTACAAGCTAATGAAGTGTAGCATACTCTTGCGTTGCTTACCGCTGGTTTAAAAATTGCTGTTGCAAAAAATGTTTGAGACGCAGCTGATGGCACGCAACGATTCCCTGACAGGAAGCGGCGGACTCCCAATGCACAGCATTCCATTTCCATTATGCCTATGGTTTCGTTTCATTTTAGTGAGAAGACCGATCGAAGTACTAGTAACACTAGATTTAGTTGAAAATATGCAGAGATGAATAACGAATACTACGTCACAAGTACGCGGTCAATAACGCGGGCTCAAGCGGACCGGGTTGCGGAGAAAATTAATTTTTACATTCTTTAGGGGTTGTAATAAGTTTTTGGAGGTTGTTCTGTTAAAGAAAAGCGGCAAGGGAAACAATGTCTACAACGAACAGAATGGAATATAAAATATGCAAACTACTCAAAATCCGTTTTCTTGTTTTCCGCGCTTAAGCCTAACGCTAGCGCAGACGTTATTCACCTTTGTCGACAGCTCTGTCGCGAGAACAAGCATCTTAAGAGGGGCCACCGCGTGACATGCAGCGGACGGCGACTGAGACTGGGCTCGAGGATGATCACGAGGTAATCATAAGACTAAGGTAGCAACTTAACGTCTCATTTGCGTGCCTCGTTCAGTTATAGTAGGCGGCAGACTGTGTATCAATACGTCAGAGATATAAAGAATCATGTTGGCAGGACTGCTTATCCTCAGTCTTTCATTCCTCGCTGCCTCAGCAGAAACTGGAAAGCACTGGGCTCTGATTGTAGCTGGATCCAACGGATGGTACAATTACAGGCACCAGGTAATCATCAGAATCGGCAAGCAAACATCATATGAGCTGCAAGGTCCATCCTATTATTTCGGCCTAAGAACAAATGCGCAAATAACGATCAGAGTAGGACGCTTTTCAGTCTCTCCCGGCATGATGCAAGTAACAGCAAATTAAAATTACTAAATTTATCAACATACTTTATGCCTCAATTACTCACAAAATGAAAGTCACGAGACATGAAGCATGTGGACACTTCCGCTTTTGAACGGAAGATATTTGGGAGTGAGGTTGTAAAGGTAACTGTATAACCACAGACTGTTTAAGGGATATTTTATTTTTTTCTTTTCCACTGTTTTCTTTTATTGGGAGAACTGCATGCGTAACAAGGTTTTCTGTAAGGTGTTAAGTAACCGGAGCTTTTTTAAGGTAAACGGCTGACACGGGGTCTCGAAATCCAATACGGGGGACAAAACGTCATATCGTTAGTGCTTTCCTGCCACCGCAGCAAGATTTGTCAAAAAGACAGCCCCCGTCAGAACGTTTTTAAACTAATCTTGAGTCAGAAGTCTTTTTATGTTTTCAGAAAAGATAGGCAGTGCAAATTTATATTTTTGTTGAGCCCAAGTTTAGACCTGATAAACATCATCTCTGTACGGGCTCTCGAAGCAATGAAAGTAGCCGGCGAAACCTTGCGGAGAAGCCGGCGAACTTCGCCACCTGCCGGCTCTTATCTACAACCCTGGTGTAATACAGCATGGGGTTACATGCTGTTCTTGACGGAAATGTAGCTGAAATCTTTTGCTCTTCGCATTATCATGTAAATGTCTTGGTCGGTCCATTGGACAAAAAAAGAAGTCGAGAAAGAGGAAACGATATTGCTGCTAACTGTTTTTATAATCCTAATGTCTCTAAATTAAATGTACATCCAAGAAAATTCGTTTTTTAATGATCACTCTAACATTTAAGTCTTTTTTATCTACCTGTGAATTAATTAAGAATATCAATTTAGTTACCCACATGTCCTTGAATTTTGCTTTTTATGCAGTTCTTCTGGATTTGTTCTTCACCTTTTGACACAAAAGGGATTGCTTAGCGAATTGGAGGTCAACTTGATTGACTTGCATAAATTATTATTCCTTCACCATTTTCTGATAAATGTTTCACCTCTTTTATTTCACCTTGGTTGTCTGAAATATGAGTGACTCTTTGAGATTTCCTGTGAGCCATTTTGACTGGTTCAAAGACAAGCAAGGTGTTTGGTAGGATAACTGGTCATCTAATTAACAAATAGAGAAGCCTTTACTGTGCTCTCTTCTGTTGTAAAGCACACAGGAAGTGGCTAGAGCACAAAAGAAGTGTAGGGGGAAACACGAGACGTAGTCAAGTGTTTCCTCCCTACTTCTTGAGTAGACAAACACCGTCATGATTAGTATGATTTTTAACAGTTATGCCAGGTTATATTTTTCATCATTCCTGTTTTTTTTCTCTTTTGTTTTTGAACACGAAACTTTATGTATATACTGCATGTAAACTTGAAATCTAACTGAGCATGAAAACCTTAAAAACTTGGACTTTCTGTTTTGTTTTATCTTTGAGAATTTTTGTCTCTGCTCATGTTACAATAATATAAATTACTGCGCCTGACATTTTTGCAAACCTTTTCTCGCTTGTTGCGAAATTTCACTTTCAATTAGCGAAAGAAAAGCTCAAAAGAAGTCCTGGAAAATGTCGGACATGTACAATTTGGCAGATGGCGTGACAGCTTTAGTTCAGTTCTATGATCTATACTCTCATAGAGCACGCTCTTTTAACCAATGACAGCACACATTATATCTGAACTTTATTATAACATTCTATGAAGTGTTCTTCTTCTGGTAACCATTATAACCTCTTGGGAATGGAAATTGTGAGATGCTCTCTTTAAGGAGAACTTCAAATGATGTGTTCATTTTCTTGTATTTAGGCTGATACATGCCATGCCTACCAGATTCTCCACAAAAATGGTATTCCTGATGAAAACATTGTAGTCATGATGTATGATGACATTGCCCATAATCCCTCGTAAGTTCACTCAATTCCAATTTATGTATCTTAATTAGATGGACTTAGGTTCTGCACTAATGTAATTTCTCAAATATGTGGGTCAGACACGTTTAATAGTTTGCCTTAAGAAGTCCAGGGCTGAGTCATGGTGTTGTGTTCTTAGAAAGAAACTTTACCGTAATGCCTCTCTCTCCCCAGGAGTATAGAAGAGTACCAATGAGAGATATCAGGGAAGCACCCAACATAAGGGGGGGGGGGGGAGGGGGGAGGGGAATGGAAACTGCAACAGGCTGGCATTGCAGCCAGGGGATGTAGGAATTCTCCTTGTTACTTTAAGAATCCAACATAAGCTCTAGCTGGAAAGGCCTCTAGACAAGATGTTTTCCAAAAATGTTATACATGTTCATGTACACACACTTGGGGTGTAAAGTGTAACAAATGAAGATTATACAGATAAAGGGTGGGGTTTAGAAGAACAGGGTGAATACTAAGTATTGAGTTTTGTGGGACCACTTAATTAGCCAATCATACATGTACATGGGAAGCCAAAAATATGAAGGACTTATTACAATTTTACAATGTGCCCATCATAATAATTATTGTATGCATGGAAATTAAGAAAGTTGGCATAATCAGGATGTTAGATAACCGTGTAGTCTATTCTGTGTACCGCTAATGGCACATGACATTACATGGATCAAATTAACTGGTTTCAGCAAAGATTTGTGTTAACTCATGTTGCTCATTCACTGGCTGAGATTGTGTAGTTATCCCTCAATACAAGAGAAGAAGCTAGGACAAGAAAATATTTTGGGTATTTTGTTCACAAACATCCCATTTTTACAAAGGAATTGAATTAATCAAACTAAAGTAGTCTTGTTTATTATCAGGAATCCAACACCTGGCATCATTATAAACAAGGTTAGTTGATTGAATTATATTATATATCTTTTATTGTTTCCTAACCATTAATACATGCATCTTATATGATTATTAAAAAATAATCATCCTAAACTTTACAGACAGCTATAAATTAATTTATTTATAGCATAGTACTATAAGAACTGTTGATGATTTTTGAGCTACAGTGATTGTTATCAAATATTTATATGTAGTGTGCTTCCCAGTAATTTCTCTGAGGAGCATGTGGTGTATAATGGAAGACTGAGTGGAGTCCAATTCAGCATGTAATCATGTGAATGATAAAAAAAATTGGATGACCATGTGGTGGGAGTCCGATTTGTTAATCATGAGACAGTATATTTATAGAGAATTGGATCACAAAGTTCTGTGAACTATTAACCCAAAGTATTACAAAATTCAAGAGAGAAACTACACATCGTATGTATACATTTTCATAAAAAAGGTACAACAACTGCATGTGCATATGACTCTTACTGTCCACACATGATGTGTTGACATTTTCCAATTACAAGCATGATGTGTACACATATCCTATAGGTGTCCAAATTGGGCTGGTGATAACCAATTACATTCAAGAATTTTGTTATAATTTTGATTAAATGTAGTACTGTATCATAAACTAAATCACTCTTATATTTTTCCTTACTCAGCCAAATGGAGACGATGTGTACAAGGGTGTTCCAAAAGACTACACAAAGGAGGTAAAACTTTCTTAAGTCATATTCAATCTTGAGTAAATATTGAGTAAATTTTTCAAAATGTAGAATAATTTTAAAGCTATTGTTGGTAATGTTCAAAACTTTTTTGGCACAATGGTATAATGGTCAGGAGAACTTCATTTCAGATAATCTATTTTTACATGTGGCTAGATGTTGTGGGTGGATGTTGATTACTTCTCTGGAAATTCATGGAACTACTTGAGGGCTGACTTTTAGACCCTATATTTTTATTTTCTATTTTATCTCAAGTTTATCTTCCCCCTTTGAGTATCATCCATTATTCTCTGCCCTTTTTCCCTCTGCCCTTTTGCCCTCAGCCCTCACCTGACCATTCACCCTTTCCCTTCAGTCCTAACCATTCAGCCTACCCTCTACCCACTCATACCTTATTCTGAATCCCTTACCCCTAACACCTCAGCCCTCACTTTTTCACCCCGCCCATCCTTCTAGCTCTGCATTCCTCATCACTCACCCCTCAACCCTCAGCCCACACTGAAACCTCTCCATACCCTTCTTTGCCCATCAGCCCGCACTCCTAAACCCTCACTCTTCACCCCACCTATTCTTCACACTCAGCACAATATATTTCCCACTCCTCAGCCCTTACTCTCTATGCCACCCCTCTTCCTCACTCTGCACTTTTCATTCCTCACCCCACAGCCCTTAGCCCACACTCTCACCTCCCCCACTTCATTCTTATCCTCTCATTCCTCTATTCCTCTTTCCCCCCCCCCCCCACTCCTTAGCCTCGAGCCCTCTTCCTTAACCCTCACACCATAGCCCTCTGCCATCACTCATCCATCCTTACCCTTCTTCCTTCAGTTCTAACCTTTCCCTCACAGTTCAAAGCCTTCAATGTTGATCTCATTTTAGACATGGTGTTTGGTCAGGTAGAAAACTGCATCTACATGTACATGTAGTTAATTATACCACCATGACTGATTGTACATGTAATTAAATCCAACTGTTATGTGACAGGGAGACAAAGAGTAGACATGTATATATGTTGTGGTTCAATTTTATCCTTGGGTCAAATTTTATTTTACTTTGTTTATGAGTATTGTAAATAGAATAACAAGTTTGAAACAAAAGGAATGAAAATTTGAACTAAGGATAAAATTGAACCACATCATATACATGCATGGTTTCAATGCCTAACTTTGTGTTACATGTTTTTTGTTTTTTATTCTGTTGATATTGATCCCATTGTTTAGGATGTGACACCAGATAACTTCTTGAACATTCTGAAGGGAAATAAACAAGCCATGAGTGGGATTGGTAGTGGAAAAGTGATTGACAGGTTCAGCATTAAATGCAACGTATAAAATATTGTAGCTGGCCATTGCATGGTCACGATGATCTTCATTTATGGATGGTGACTCTAAATGTACATATATAATCATGTGTCAAGACAAACAAAAAGTATTTGTTTATTACATATAGCTATTATGAACAACTAGCTATATTTAACACCTCTTTTATGACTCATAGGGTGAGTTATTTAAACAACATTAAGCTGTTGTATAACAAAACCATGTCCTAAACAATCCCCAATTCAGCTGGACCTTTTTATCAAACATTTTCTATGTGAGCAGTGATAAGAGGGTAAAAAACTAACAGTGAAAGGACATTTATTAGTTAGGTAAATCAACACTCTTACAGAGAAAGCCTAAGGCCCACTGATTGCATGAACTGGTGGTTCGGGTTAGACCTCATGTAAATAAAAAGCCTTATAGCTTGGACTACATGAGGATTTATAACCCAATCTCAGTACTTTTTACAGGAAATTTGCTTTTTCTTTTCTTTCCCTCTCAGTGGGCCAAATGACCATGTTTTTGTTTATTTCACTGATCATGGAGCTACTGGACTCATTGCATTTCCAAGTGATGAGGTGAGTTTCTGAATCAGGTAATTGCAAAATCCCAAATGTAATGCATCTTACTTTATTGCATTTCCAGGCCTTTCAATCACCTGCAAACTCCAAGGTTAAAAGCTAATTTGCAATTTTGTTTCATGTTTTGTTTTACTCCTCATTGCATGACTCTGCCATCTGAAAGCAGAGAAATACTAAACTGAGTTATATTCTCCAATCATAACTCAGGAACACAACCTTGCATGTTATATAAAAGTCCAGTTGATGCAAGAACCATGGTGTGTTCCAATGCAACTTTACAATCAAAATAAGTTTGTGATTTATTTATGGAGAAGGGAAATTCCACAAAGGTTGCACCAGATCAAGAAACTTATACTGCTGCAACCATGCTCTGAGACAAAGTACTACTTGTCTATTGTTTCCTAAACTTGTGGCTGCATCTCCATTCTTTCCAGGATTATCAGCACAAATTCAAAATGTGGCACATTGATTATAATCAAATGAACTGCATAAGAACAAAACCAAGAATATCTTCAATGTTGTAATGTTTGTGCAACAGACATCAAGGACTTCCATAGTGTAGAACTTGGGTCTTATAACCCATCAAGCAGAGAGCATTGTGTGATTGGATGAGTTAATTGAGTTTGCACTGCTTATGTTGAGGCCTTTGGGGTTATTTAGGGGCAACTCAAATGTGCTCCATGTAGGCAGGGGTGTAGCCAGACTTTTTTTTATGAAAATGTATATATATAATTATTTAAAATAGGGGGTTGGACACTGTCTCAATTAGAGGTTACTTTACCAAATTTTCATGTCAACCTCCACACTGTGTTTGACTAAATGAGACAAAAAAAGTTTGATTTAAAATATCTATACCTTTAAATTATGCAGAAAAAAGTTGTAATACATGTTGTTGGATGCCTGAATATCTACCCCTCTTAAGGGGAAAATAGTGCTTTCAAAAATTTTTCCATGTTTCGTTGTTTCTCTCTTCTCTTCAATTGGCCAATGCTAAAAATGGTAGAGGTCCAAATTGTTTCCATGCACAGATTCTGTGGATTGTGATCTTAGTGAACAAATTAATTTTTTTTCTCTTCAGTTGATGGCACATGACTTAATAGCTGCCCTGGATGAGATGTATGAAAACAAGAAATTCAGCAAGGTATGACAAATGAGTAGTCTTATAAACCAAAGATTCAGTAGTTTATTTAAGATTCAATGTACCATGTACAAGTGTATGACAATGTTAGTGATTCACCTTGTATCTTGTTGTGTAGTCTCATGTACTGTAAGTTTGGCTTTTCATGTGTAATAGTTGTCACTGAAGGTTAGGGCAGGGCAGCGAACAGGTGATGTTATAGGGTCACCTTGAGAGAGATGTTAATGATACTTACTAGTACTCAAAAAGATTTGCCATTTTTAATCACTTCAATATTGGTTGGGTAGTCTGATTGTCTGATTGAAAGTAGTCCACAAAAGAACTATTGTTGGTCGTCATAACTGATGTTGCAACAACATTATGGGAAGCCACCATCAGAGTTAAGTAAGAGGTTATTTTGTCAGTCGATTGATGTTAAGTCTGGTTCAGGAAAAGTGATTGGTCAGTTTAGCCTTGATGTCATTGGCTGTAAGACTGAAATAGCAGAAGTTGCTAGTGATTGGTTAGTTTCAATTCTTTGGTAATGTTAGGTCTTCATGTTCAATTCTTTTGTGAACACGATGACAACTACAATGTATTCTTACTTGAAGATTAGACTACACAATCAAATATATGGTTGGTAGGTACAAAAGTAAGATCAAATAAGACAGCTTGAGAATATCTGACAGGAGGTCTGGCACTTTTTTCCCTCAGTTGGTGTTCTACCTTGAAGCTTGTGAGTCAGGGTCCATGTTTCACAAGAAGCTCAAGAACAACATAGACAGTATGTGTGCCTTCTATTTCCTGGGCAAAATGCATTTTGCAGGAAAATTTTTTATCATAGAGAAAATTTAAACTAACAAGAAAATAAAGGAAGTGTTGTTAGTATGAGGTTCCTGTTGGAGTCATGGGTGGAAACCTCATCTTTGAAACACTATACTTATTTTCTTTTTAAGAATTTTATCCTTCTTCATTATGTGTTGCACTTTGGAGGGGAGGGGTAGGACGGGAATAGTTATGCGATGAGTTTCATACCTCTCAAGGCTGATTCTTAACCCTTTACCTCCCATGAGTGACCAGGAGAGAATTTCTCCCCACAATATCAAGACAATATCAAGCAGACAAGTGATGAGAATAAAGAAAATATAAATTATGGGATTATTAGTTGTTCCAATACCAAATTCTCCATTGACATCATAAGACAGGGCGTGAAATTAACTTTTTTTTCTGATAGCCACTTGGCTCCTAAATTCTTCAAAGTGGTAGCCAATTCAAAAAAAGTTGGTCGCCATTTTCAAAGACAAACAAAATCTTTCTTTATGCAGTCAGCATCTAGATAGACCCTCCATATAAGTTAGGGAAAAGATCTTTTACGTGCTACAAAGTGGACACTAGGATGTATGATATACAACGTTCAGGCTCATCTAAAGCCAAGATGGCGTCTAGTTATCGATCGAGATGCATGTGCTACGTTTTGGAAACAAACTTAACGAGGAAGTTTGCCGCGGATTTATCTTTGCAAATTTATTTAATTCTCTATATCTCTTGGTAAGGTTATGATGAAATGTTGTAGTCGCCAATTTGGCGACTAACTTTCAGGATTTGGTCGCCAAAATGAAAAATTTAGTCGCATTGGCGCCTGTATTAGGCGCAATTTCACGCCCTGTAAGAACTGTATGGCAGTAAGTAAGGGGAAAAACTAATGGCATCCGAGGCTTCTTGAAGGTTTTATCACTTATTTTGATTAACGACTGATGTATGTGATTGTCGGGATCTTTTTTTTTCTAGTCTATGCGACTACTGCTGCCAATCCTGATGAATCTTCCTATGCTTGCTACTACGACAAGAAAAGGCAAACGTACCTTGGGGATGTGTACTCTGTGAAGTGGATGGAAAACTCTGATGCGGTATGTGACATCACTTACTTCTCGTTTAATTTTTGCAATGCTGAGTTCTTTCAAAAGTCGTTCGTTCTGTTAGTAATGGTAATTGCGGACCATGGATTAGGAGATGAACTAGTATCTGTTTGACTTCATATCGATTTGCAGGTTGATCTGACTAAGGAGACACTCATGAAGCAATTCCAAATTGTGAAAGAAGAGACGAACACTAGTCATGTGATGCAGTATGGAGACATGGTATATTTATTTTATATGAAACGAATACGACCCCCTACCCCGTCATCTTTCCCTGACTATTCACCAGTACCTATTTATACTCCTGGGTGTATGGTGAGGGTAAAGTGTCTTGTCTAAGAGCACAAGACAAAGACCAGTCTACGTCTCGAACCTGCTAAATAGTAATACAGTTCAATCAATAAGAGCATTTCCTCTGTAAGAGAGGAAAGAAATAGAATCATAAACTTAGCACATAGCTTCTCCAGTGTGGAATTCTCAAGCCCTTCCGGTAAATGTGCGCTCATTCTAGCTCTGTTCAGGCTGCAGGGCGTGAAATTAATTTTTTTTTTCTGATTGCCACTTGGCTCCTAAATTCTTCAAAGTGATAGTCAATTCGAAAATAGTTTGTCGCCATTTTCAAAAACAAACAAAACCTTTTTTTACATTGTCAGCGTTCTTGATAGACCCTTTAAAAATTATGTTAAGGAAAAGATCTTTTACGTGCCACAAAGTGGACACTAGGATGGATGATATACAACGTTCAAGCTCACCTAAATCCAAGATGGCGTCTAGTTATCGATCGAGATACAATTGTGCTACGTTTTGGAAAAAAACTTAACGAGGAAGTTTGCCGCGGATTTATCTTTGCAAATTTATGTAATTCACTGTGTCTCTTAGTAAGGTTATGATGAAACGTTGTAGTCGCCAATTTGGCGACTAACTTTCAGGATTTGGTCGCCAAAGTGAAAAATTTAATCGCATTGGCGCCTGTATTAGGCGCAATTTCACGCCCTGGGCTGTAAGTGATAAAGATGCATCTATACATGTGTACATGCCTTTTGACAGTAAGGTGAAGCTAACATGATTAAGCGCATTTTTTCTGTGACAGGATTATGTTAATGATGACCTGGACGAGTTCCAAGGTGACGGCATGGGAAGTGTTTCCGGAAAATCTCCGGAGGAGTATCGTGGGGAACAAATTGTAAGAGCTACTTGTAGTTTGGCCACTCTGCTAAATACTGTTCTGTTCATTGATATTGCAAGTTTGGTTTTACTTCATGCAAATGATTCCTTTTTTTTTCTGCTGGCTCAGCCTTACCGGGGCGTTGTAATTGAAGTCTCTTTTGTAAAACATTCGAATGTTGGGTACGTTTGCGAGCGCAAGAGCGTATTAGATGGTGTCTTTTGTCAAGAAATCCCAAATGAATCAGATATTATTTAGGGAAAGAGGGGATAAGTTTTTCAATAAAAAAAATTACACGGGAAATACTTTATTTTAAACTAAAGTTAACATCGCTGTCATTTATACAAGTACGCTGAACGTGTATGGTATGCTGAGGGGAATAAGGTCATTTGAAGAAGCTTACATCAAGAAATACTCAAATCTGCATGGATATTAAAGATTAGTGTATGGTAAAACAGTGGATAGCGTTGATGGCGCGCTCTGATTGGCTACTCCAACTCCGAATATCCTTTGTCAGCATAGATATACTAAAACAGTGGATAGCGTCGAGGGCGCGCTCTGATTGGCTACTCCAACTCCGAATATCCTTCGCTATTCACCCCCGAGCAACTCACTTGGGATTTGCGTCCGAAACTGTTGTAATCGTTTCAGGAATAAGCGCGTTAAAATCATCTTTTTGAGCTGTTATATCACTGTTTTAGTATATACTTAAACAACTGTTCACTCCAGTGTCGGTGGCTAGCCGTGGTTATTTACCTCGCTGCTTCGCGGCTCGGTTTATATCCACCCCGAGCCACCTCCACTCCGGTGAATAGTTGTGAATTATGATATTCTCCGAAACGGTCTTGTTCTGACTGTAATCAGAGTTAATCATAATGCTTATTGAGCCGTGGAAAATGATATAAGCATGTTACGCTGTAAATTCGTTTCAAACGTGGGTCTAATTTGGCCATCACCCCATCCTCTGTCAATTACTGTGCTCAGTCTTTTCTAGAACGCAAGTAATTGAATTTCAGAGTTTATATTTCGTCAGCATATTTTTAAATTAAACTAAACGGGTTGCAAACGACGAACTAAAGGAAGTACGCTTATTTTTCAAGATCCTGTCTCCTTTACAGGTCTGTTAATTTGGAACAGGCGAACAACTCTGATAAAGAATTTCACAAAAGGAATAACTCTAACTTGTTGGGTTACATTTATTTGCAGACCGATGCCATTCCTTCACCAGATGTCGAGCTGAATATCCTTCACCATCGCCTAAAGGATAGCGCGAGCCTGGCCGAAAGACGAGAAATCGCTCGTGAAATCGAAGAGTTGCTTGAGGTAGAATATGACTGTTGTTGTTGTTGTTTTGTCCTTTTTTTTTAACATAATTGTTTTAAATGTTTCTTTTGACTTGACTTGCCTTGTGAACTCCAAAGTCATTTAGAGTGTTTTTTTGGAGATTACGTTAGGGTTTTCACGGGTTATCAGCATGTAAGATAGAAGTAGAACTATTTTCCTGGAATTTTGGAATGACCCTTGACAACAGCCTCACCGTCTACTTTACTCTGCTGTAAGGAAAAATTCTTCCTACGTAGAGGCCCACAATCGGGTCGCACTCAAAGATTTTGATGGAAAGAGGAAGTTTGATGTTTCAGTGTGCAAGAGCGTTTAGTTCAGTGTGCAGCAGAAAAGCAGTGCTACCCCCAAATGCAAAAATTCTCGTGTTGCTTATCCAAATAGATCAGGCTCCACACACTAACAACGGTTTAACTCATGACCACATGACGTCACTTTATCTCTCGACCCAGTTCTCTGACTGAAATCAGAATGAAACGTAGGCTTGCAGCAATAGACAGTTAATACGAAATATCGCGATTTAAATGATCGGACTTGGGTATGGTGTGCCAAATTTAAAATAAAAATCAAGGAAACACTAAAAAGAGTATTTTTCATAGTTAAAGCACTTTCAGTAAACTGTAAACTTTGAGTTGTTCGTTTCGTTTGTTCAAAAAACAGCGGAAGGAAGGTGTCAGAAAAACAATGGAGTCGATTGTGGAGCAATGTACCTCCTCTGAGGAGCAGAAGACTCGGGTCCTGAAGACTCGTGCTGATCCGGAAGACTTTGACTGTTATAAGCAGGCTGTCAAAACTTTCTCAAAGACCTGTTACAATCTGGGACAGGTAATGACGACCCCCCCCCTCCTGTTTAGAGGTGTTCTAATAATATAATTCCGAAAACTCTACTTTAAGACACATGGCTATCACTGTAACAGCCAGTGCCAAATAAAATCTCACCCCTAATGGCTACCAGCTTTGAAAAAAAAAACAAATAAGCTGGAACTTACAACTCAAAAGCGATGAAGACAACCACTTCCTCTCTTGAAGATTTCTCAAAAGTATGTCGTAAATCTGAAATCAAAGGGGAAAGTTAATTGTGTAACAAGTATCGTTGCGGTTTCCGACATTTTTTTTGATTGGTAATCTTTAAGATTCCTTTGATTTTTACGCAATATCGCAACGGTTAATTTGAGGATTTAGAAACCCAATTGCTCTTCAAATTTCTCCCGAGCACAACAAGCATCCACTTGGAAGGGATGTACGGCTATGATCGACAAAGTATCATTCAAATACTGTATCCACCAAGGAAAACATTGCTAGTTGAAATTTAGAAGAAAAAAATAGAATGCTGTCCCTGCCTTCTTAGCCTCTTTTCATACTCATGGTGCTGTTTTTAAACTTCTCAGAATGACCACGCCCTGCGTCACGTGTATGCCCTCTCTAACTTGTGCGAAGAAAACATTCCAACTGAAATGTGAGTATGGTCTTATACATTTGCTTTCAATTTCTTTATAGTAACGCTATCTTAATTTGCAATTTACTTTTAGTTTCCAACAAAGTATAAAGCAGGTAGGAAACTGTTGAATCTTTAAAAAAAAAACCTTCATACCTATCGACACAAAATTTTCCCGCAGGGGGCTGGATGGGTGTTTCCATACAGGCATTTTATTGGACTTTTGAGTGGAGGATTTCTCGTTATCATAGCCAAAAAGGGTAGTAGTAAGGTACCTCAGGGTCCCTCCCCTCCCCTGTTATTGACGGTCGTAGTAGATTTTGTTACTTTGTTGACTTGTTGCAATAAATCCCTTTTCGTCATCCTCATTCATTGCGTGACAGTTGCTACTGAAACGACTCCAACCAAAACAAAAAGGAAGCGAAGAACAACAAACAAGAATTGTTTTCTGGAGTTTCAGCGCCTCACCAATGGGACCAATCCTTGGGAAAAATTGAAACGAAAAGAAACGAAATGAGGGTTGCTTCTCTTTTCCTTTCTTTTTTTTTATTTCTTTTTATCTCAAAATAGACACATTATGCTAGTGAATTACTCTTGTTAACTTTCGCCGTGATTTCACTCCCAACAGGATTGTATCTGCAATCATGAAAGAGTGTGCTGGAATCAATTAGAAAAGGAACATCCTCTGTCTTCGAATTTTTAGTATTTGCAAGGCCTGGGGCTTTTAGCTGTTTTCACATATGTTGATCTTTTCTCTTTTAAATGATTAGATAGAGTTTTTACTTTGTATACTTTGTATCCTAATTTTTTGTACTTGATGGTTTCAATTCTATTTTACTACGTTCTTTGATCTGTTGACCGCTGCAAGGTGATCAGACTATTAATGATTTATCTCTGGTTGAGCTAACATTTGAATGAAGAACTTAGTCAGAACTGGGATACAAAAGTTTGAAACATTTTTTTAAATTGTACAATTGTATCTCACGCAGGCTAACAATTGAGCTTAAACTCAGGGATAAATAGAATAACTCTGTATCATGTTTTTGATCTTAAAAGTGCTAGCGATATAACATTGTAATTCCGCCTTCTTGGCAGTAAAGATGAAATGTAAAAAACCGATAGGTTAGTGTTTGCTTCCAAAGTACCACTGCCTTGCGTTAATCAATAATACACGAATTATTAATTTTTTTATCAGTTCTTTTTAGGAATATGAATAAAACTTCTGAAAAATTTGTAGATTGTGCATGACAATAAAAAATGCTGCAAGCTAAAACGAGAGGCTGAAATTCTGCCATCATGCTTTTTCTTGCGCTCCACATCCTCCCTCTAACCCCCCCAACCTCCCCCCCCCCCCTTCACAAGAAGGTTTTCTTTTGTGAAGACTTTGTGTGCGTAATTTGGACTTGTTTCCTTCGCGTCCCATTTTTTCTGTTTCATGAGTTTCTAATAAAAATTTTCTTCCGTGAGTAATTTAGACTTGTTTCCTTCGCGTCCCATTGTTTTCTATTTCATGAGTTCCTGATAAAAATAGATTTTTTTAAGTTGTTCAGCAGACCTCGTTGAAATTTCAGTCCAATTACTCGAGTGTCCCTTTTAATTTTTTTCTTTTCTTCAGCTGTTTTCCAATACGAAAGCTTTCCCTATTCGAGACTTTATGGGCCCGTTTTGGCCCATTGTCAATGTGCAGCCTCCGCTCCGCTTAGGTAACGCTTCTCCTGCGTGGATGAGGGGAAATGGAAAAGCCTGCTACACAGACTAATAGCTAAGCATAACTAGAAATACACGGCGCCTAGAGAAACTTTCGCAAGTAATTTTTAAACGATTATCTCGGTAACGCAAAAAAGCGAGAAATATGTCGATTAAACGCTTTTTATTTACAGTTAAAATAACCACATTACTTTCCCTTCTGGCGCACCGTTATCAAAGACTAGAGCTACAGTATAAGAAGACCACAACAAAACTTGCAAATGGAGAACTGGTTACAACAAGCTTGAACTCAGGCGTCCCAAAAATCCTCGTCAGCAACTTTGTCGATTCACAGTTTCATTTGCAATTATAGGATATAAATACTTGTGAGAAAAATTAAAAATTTAAAAAAAATTATAATTCTTCCCAATTTAAGTAAGAAATAGTTGATAAAAGATCCTTAACCTAAAACTGAAAACAAAGAAAAAAACAACAAACCACGCTAAATCCTTTCGACAAAATCCAGATAAGTCGAAAACTTGTTTTCATGACTTTTCCCTTAAATCTTCCTACAGGCTTTAAATCAGCACCTAAAGAGTGGCGAATGGTATTGCGGAAAAAAGAAAACGCTACAATTAATAAAGATAATTATACAGTATTCATAAGGCTACGCTGCTCTGTCCTTTCAATCCTCAGGGTTCTTGGTAGGCAGGAAAACACAGCTGACATTCAGGCAAGAAAAGATATCGCAACACAGACCGATCTTTTCGCACTGAGAGCCACCTGGACTGTTCATGCATATCAGACGTTAGCACAGGGCGTGAAATTAATTTTCTTTTTCTGATAGCCACTTGGCTCCTAAATTCCTCAAAGTGGTGGCCAATTAAAAAAAGTTGGTCGCCATTTTGAAAGACAAACAAAATCTTTTTTTTTTACGCTGTCATCGTTCTAGAAATTAAGTTACGGAAAAGATCTTTAACGTGCTTCAAAGTGGACACTACGATGGATGATATACAGCATTCAAGCTCACCTAAAGCCAAGATGGCGTCTAGTTATCGATCGAGATGCATGTGCTGCGTTTTGGAAACAAACTTAACGAGGAAGTTTGCCGCGGATTTGTCTTTGCAAATCTTTTTAATTCACTATATTTCTAGCTAAGGTTATAATGAAAAATTCTAGTCGCCAATTTGGCGACTAATTTTCAGGATTTAGTCACCAAAGTGAAAAATTTAGTCGCATTGGCGCCTGTTTAGGCGCAATTTCACGCCCTGTAACAGCACTCCCGACTGTTTCTCGGGAAACACGAATGTAAACGTAAGGTCGTGCTTGTTTGACTTGCTCTTGAATGGAATTCAGTTCTTGCTCAGAAGCGGTTTGAAATAGGTTAACGTCGTACAGTCGTGACCTTTTGACGAGGTGTGGCACCAGAGAGTTTACCGCGCGACCCAGTGGATTGTCTGACAGGTCCAGTTTGAACAACTCAGGAATGAATTTAAGGTTCTCCAGCAGACCTTGTAAATCTTGCTCATCCAAGTGTAATGCAGTGAGCATTAAACGTTGCAAGTTAGGGAAAAACTGAAAGCTCTTTGTTAATGGGGCAAGAACACCTCTAACACAAAAACCACTAAAATAGAGCGTTTGCAACAGCATTTCTGTGTTAATTCCGCCAAACAGCGCCTCCATTTCCTCGACATTCAAGATGCTTCCATCACTCCCAGTTAACTTGAGTTTTCTCAAAGCCGACATCTCGGCAAGTGACTGACCGAGTGCCACAGCAACTGCTCGAGACAAGGTAACTCCGCTGAAAATTACTTCATGAGGCAAATTCGGAGCTGTTTCAAGACACACTATGTTCGCAGTGACCAGCGCCTCACACTGTACACTCAAGCTGTGAAAAGCTGGAAGAAATCTTAGGCATCTCAGCAAACCACAAACATTCTGCTCATTCTGATTTTCGGAGGAAATTTTTAAATTTACTTTCAACAGATTTGGAAACTCTCCAAAACGTTTAACAAGTCGAGTAAGGCAGCTTCCCACTCTGAAACCACTGAAAGACAACTGTTGCAAATTAACTGTTTTGTCGAGACCACCAAAGAGAGCTTCAACTTCTTTATCCTGCATAATTATCTCACCTGAACTAAATAAGCAGAGTTGTTCCAGGGATGACATTGTAGAAAGTGCCCGACCGAGCGCCGAGATTACTGTCGGAGTTAGGCTTATATTCCGCAGCTCCAGGGTCTTAAAACGAGACAATGTCAAATGGCCCATTGTGTTTTCCTCTCCCTCGCAACCTTCACGAGCCAGTGGTCTACATTCAACGACGAGTATGTTTAGGCGAGGAAAATATTTTGAAAGGAATAAATCGCTCGCTAGAAAACCACACATTTCGCTATTGTTTAAATCAATGTCCAGCTCCATCATTGTCATTTTGGGGAAGAAACGAAAACTGTCGGTGAGTGGGGCAAGAACACTTCTTTCGCTAAAATCATCTGAAGTAGATCTGTGCGATGCCAAACACTTGTTGAATCCACTTGGCAAAGCCTCCGTCTCTCCAGTTTGCAAAACAATCCCTTCCTTTACAAAGAGACTGTCTAACGACATTTGAGGGAGCAGCCGACCAAGCGCCCTAACAACCGCGGGGTTCAGGGTTATTCCACTCAAGGACAGTATTTGGAGAGCCGCCAGTGTGCAGCTAACCTCTGTTTCCACCCTCTCAGAACAGTCGGCATGGAACGGAATCTGTCGCTGGCCCTTCACAGCCAATGACATCAAATTGGGAATGCATCTTACGCCCGACAGCAAATGAAAAAAGTTATGTTCATTCAGGCTCACCTCGCCTATATCCAAATACTCTAGCTTAGGAAAGAAGCGCAAACAGTCGCTAAGTGGGGCAAGACAGCCTCTCATGCTGAAACGCTGGACAATAAGCCGGCACAAAGGCAATTCCTCGCTGAAACCTCCAAACAGAGCATCCATTTGTTCAGCTTGCAACACACTTCCATCCACACCGATAAGCTCCAATGTTGTTAGGGAAGACATTCTAGGAAGACACTGACCCAATGCTTCGGCTGCTTTTGAAGTTAGACTTATGCCAGACAAAATAAGCCGCTGCAGAGAAAGTAATTCTCGAAATTGGCCAAAAATCACCTCTATTTCCTCACCTTCCAAAGTGTTTTCATCATTCTCACCGTTACTACGGTTAGAATGAGAAAACGTAAATTCTTCCAAAGACGACATTTCAGAAATCAGCCTGCCGAGTGCCCTGGCCACTGTTGGAGTGAAGCTTACATCAAGCAGAAATAGACGACCAGAATACACTTGCAACCGACCCGAGTTCCCTTCTCCTTTACAATCTGCGCGAGCCACTGATTTGCAATGTATGCTTGTTGTGGGCAAACTAGGAATATTTCTTAAGCGCTCCAGAAACACAAGAAAATTGGCGTCATTAATAATGAAATTAATGTCAATGTTAACATATGCCCATTGTAATTCTGGAAACAACTGCAAGCTGTTTATGAGGTGATCAAGACGGCCTTTCATGCTGAATTTATGAAACGCCAACTGCTGCAAGGGCAAACGCTTTTTAAATCCACCAAACAGCACCTCAACTTCCCCGTCTTGCAAAATTCTATCATCTCCCTCAAAAATTCTATCATCTCTCTCATAAATTCGCAATTCTTTTAGCGCCGACATCTCAGGAATCAACTGGCCCAGCAACTCGGCCACTGCTAACGTCAGGCTTACATTTGATAGGCACAGCCTGTTGAGAGTTTGGTGGGTGAAGCTGGTCTGCATGACTTCTTCCTCTGAGCATCCTCTGACTTCTTCCTCTGAGTCATTCTGTAGTGTTCCAGTTAAAGAAAGAGTCTCCAAACGCGGAATAAATTCAAGATTCCTGAACAAATGAAGCAAGTTATGCTCATTCCAGGTGATAAAATGGAGGTCTAAGCATCGCAATAGGGGAAAGAAGCGTAAATTATTGCTTAAGGGAGCAATACAGCCTCCGATGTTAAAATCCATAAACCAAAGCTCACTTAAAGGTAGCGTTTTGTGAAATCCGCCGAACAGCGCCTTCACTGGCAAAACATCTCCGTTACTTCCACCAACTAAAATGAGCTTCTCTAAGCACGACATTTCAGGGAGTGACTGCCCGAGAACTGAAGCGGATGATGGTGTTAAGCTGATTTCATTCAGTAAAAGACCCTTCAGAGTCACATGATTGACACTAACAACAAGTTTCTCTACTTCTGCAGCAAAGCACGACGTAAGGGCCAGATTCAGGCGAAAGACCCTAGTGAATTTTGGAAGTAGAGCAGCAAGTTTCTCTGCTTCTTTCTCTGCAGTCAGGTGACACTGACTATCACGTACAGAACCAATCTGCAACGCGCACCTACTCGGATTTGGTACTGATTTCAAAATATCACAGATAGAACCATCAGCCCTTTCAATGATAAGGCTTTCTAAGCATTCACAATTACTGATAACCCGACTTAGCGCTTTCAAAGTTGAGTTGTTCACCATACCACCACAATGTAAATATCTCAGTTCTGACCACCACTTTTCGGAGGAAGATTGAACTGACGGCACAGCCGTTCCTGTAAATAATCTGCCAGTTAAATCACAACACAGTCTTAGACTTCTAACGTAGAACTGAAACTGACGATTGCGAGATAATAGAACGAAAGTGTACCTGCAGAAATAACATTTCCGATGCGTCTTCAAATTGACCAAAAAATCTCTAAGTGTGAACTCCGTCTCAGAATTTCTAAGGGTTATGTCTAGGCAGTCCAGACACTGTGCCACCTCGAGCAGAATTTCTTCTTTACTACGAACCATTAAAAACGAAACATCTGAAAAGTCAGTGAAATTGTTGACCTTTGTCTCTTTAAGAAGTTTAACTAGCTGCTCAGTGACCAAGACAGTTCCTCCAGCGCATTCAAACCAATGATTTAACAGCTTAGATTTGGACTGAACTTCATGAAACGATTTGTAAAGTAACCGCATGAAGGTCTCATACATGAAGTTGGTACCGTGGTAAGAATTCCAGTCTAGTTCACGTTCGATGGCTGAGAGTGCTTTCAATAAATCCAGTTTAGAATTAGAGATTCTAACAGTTGCCATGTGCTCAAAAACTTTATGAGCTCCATCGTCAGACAAACCGCAAATAAATTGGAAAACGTTCTCAAATACTCGACAATCTTCAATGGAACGAGTGCATTCTTTTAAATCACCAAGATCTCCTTCAGGGATACATCTGTAGGTAATATACCACGCTGCTAGGAACTCTTGTATGCTCTTGTGAATAAACGATACCATTCCTGCTGGTCGAAGATTTTCCGAGAATTCGGTGACTTGAAGTAAACCTATGAAACGGCTTTCTTCACAACTAATCGAAGCAGACAGTTGATCAAACTCGAACACGTGATCATCCTTTAAAAGACATTCTAGAGCCACCTTTCCGATTTCAACCAAAATATCCTCATACTTGCCTATCTCGTGGAAGTGAGCAGGGGAACTCTTTCCTTGACTATGATCCAAAACGTACTGTACGATCGCTTTATACAACTTCGTTTTGGTTTCTGGAAAGCTGTTCACCTTTCCTTTTTTCCACAACGTGCAAAAAAAGAGAAGAAGTAACGGAACCCGGGCTAACTCGAACAGCCCCTCTTCGTACAGATGCCACTCTAGCTGGACAGCTTCTGTTTTGCTCCCGAGCATTTTGCACATAAAGGCCTCTCTGTCTTCTTCACTGAACCCGGTGATTTCAGCGTGAACGGCTTTGAACTGACCTAGTAGATCGTCAGCATTGGAAATTCGAGTTGTGATTAACACACAACAGTTTCTCAGTTTATTGCCCATGAAAATTTCGTAGATATCAGAGGTGGTTCCGCAGCGATATTCGTCGTAGCCATCGAACACCAGCAAAACTTTCTCTTGATTATGGGTGATGTAACTAATAAGCTGTTCTGCCATGGCTGTGTCTTCCTCTGGAAAAATATTACTGCGACAAACAACATCTCGAAAACTTGAGTATTTGGACACCTCTTTCAGATTAATAGCGAGCACGAGCTCAAATCTCTTCAATGGATTTACCTCATCTTTGCTCACCTTGACCGACTCTTCCCTCTTCATTCTATTCATTGAGGATTCTTCACAACCTTGACTCACACTCTCAGCACCATACCTGGTTCCTGAATCCTGGTGTTTGCCAATCGTTCTTTCGTCCACAAGTTCAGCCCAGTCCAAACCCATTTTCTTCACAAAAGTTGTCTTTCCTATACCAGTCTCCCCTTGCACGAGTATCCTATTCGGTGCATACCCGTCCTCGTTTTCATTGAATACATCAGTATAGTGATTCAATTCAGGCTTTGATGATCCTTCTGGAGTTTGTTCCCTTTTCACCCAGGTCAGTCGAGTGTAAATCTGCTTCATGTCCACGGGAGATTTCTTAGACCAGACAGAGGTAGGCACCGTGGCGGTTCTTTTGTAATGTTCTGCAAGTTTACTGCGACAGGTATTCACATCGAAACGTTCCACAGAAGGAGATTCTGGTGACAAAAACAAAAGACAATCCGGATAATTACATTTGGATAAGCCAGATGTTTGGACCATGAAGTGATATAATTTTAAATACCCAAACATCTCTCCAATTTAAAAGATATAAGTAAAATCGTTCTCAAGGCTGTAATTTTATTTTTCATCTAATTGGAGGAGGCATTTTCAAAGAATATACGTGTCAAAAAATCCGTTTCAGTCATTATCAATAATGAGGAATAAAAGCTTTGTTCGAACAAGTAAGTCAAACTAACCCACGACATTTGGCTTCATTCTTTGATCTTTCAAAACCAGTTCCAGTTCTTTGACTTTGTCGCCCATCTCGGTAACCTCAATTTTCACTTTCTCCATTTTGACATCCGTCTCGCTCATGTCTTCCTCCAGTCGTTCCACTTTGACGTCTGTCTCGCCCAGTTCTTTCTTCAGTTGTTCCATTTTGACATCTTTCTGGGCCAGACCTCCCTGCAATTGCTCCATTTTCAAATCTGTCTCGGCCAGACCTCCCTGCAGTTGTTCCATTTTTAAATCTGTCTTAGTGAGACCTTCCTGTACTTTTTCCACTTTGACGTCTGTCTCGGCCAGACCTTCCTGCAGTTGTACTACTCTGACATTTGTCTCACAAAAACCACTCTTCAATTCTTGTACTTTTTCAGCTGACTCAGCAAGCCGTGATTCTACTTGTTGTAAGCGCATACGAATTTCCACCTGAAAATATTTCTCGGCAGTCTGAAGTTTCTCTAGTATTCCCTTGGTCTCTTCTATCCATTCTTTCATTCCTCCTATCTGTTCCTCATGTTTTTGCCACTGATTTTGCGCTGTAGCGTGTTCATCTCGGAGAAGGGCAACTTCATCTTGTAAGGTTGATAGCTCTGCCTGAGTTTTCACGTAGTTTGCCATAAGATCTTTAACGTTTTGCTGAACCAGAGAAAGAAGCTGTTGATCTACAGCATGACCCATACACAGCTGGCAACCTACAAACAAGAAAACAAACAAACAGTTCGATACTAGTCTCCTTCGTAGTCGCGGTGTAGAAAGTAATAAATGTCTAACACCTTCTTCCCTTTGGGGAACATTGCAGAACAACCCAAAGAATGGCTACGATGAGGAGTACTTCGATGAGAATACAATGGAACGAAGGATTGTGTGTGAAAATTATCCCTAACTTAAGGCATGGGCGTGGGGGCGTAAAATGGACCATACGTATCAAACTTTAATCAAGTCAAATTTTCCAAGCCATTCAGTAAAATAATTGCAACGTTTTGCTGAGGTTTAAATGCATATGCAAGCATGTTTCCACTTAACAGCAAAAATATTTCTGTACCTTTGGTCTGCCAATCTGAAAGCCGATCTAAAATGGTCGTCTCCTTTCCGACAGGGAGTCCCAGACTATTCACCAATGTCTTCAGCTTGAGGAAACAATCCTTAAAAAAAGCTTCCGTCCAGTCACTGAGATTGCAGTGGCCCCATTTGTTCCGGACATTTTCCCTGACATCATCAGCTGAGGACTGAATGGGAATTGATGGATATGGAGAGGGGAAGATGGGAGCAGGATTTGTAAACCCTAACAAGCGAAGTATGGCACTTATGTCCAGTGACTCATCGAAGGCCGAAAACTGCGCGAGATAATCTGGCAGATAAAGCTTGGCAAGCTCGACTGGATCATTAATGCTGTAATTGTACCGACTGGTGGATTTTCCATGCAAATGAAGATTGTTGTTAATATTCTGAAACTTCAGTCTTTTAAGGGTGCGATCAGCAGTGACCTGATGGCGAGTCAGAGTTTTTAACGTACAACCTGGAGTCAGGCCGCTGCAGTAGGCGTCCAGGTTTGTGTAATGGGTGTTCATTTCTTGTTTGATGAAATCTCGTAAGACTGGAGCAGCCTCTTTGTTCATAGTAATTCCAACCACAAGCCATCTCTTTTCTTCATCAGTCATCATCATCTTCAGTTTAAACCTTTGGGTTACCCCAGTACATGAACCAGTTTGTAGAATTCAAATTTAGAGACCAAATTTGCTAAAGTGTCGGAAGAAAGAGATTGAAATATTGCACATTAATAATAAGAATCAAGCAGAAAACGAAGCATTGGTTTTCACTCCACAGCAAGGATTACCATATCAAAAAAATTAAATTGAACACAAAGAAGGCAAGAGGGTAGTCATCATTTGGCTGGTTGGATACTGTACATCTGTGGTCAGAAACAAAACAATTTAATATTTTGTGGCATAAATGTGTGACCCAATGCCTGGATTGATGCAAAATGCACCAAAAGCAGCTCTTAATCATGACCTCCAATGGCTGTCATATGCAAATAATGTTTAGTTACGTAACAATAATGCATAGATCAATTTAAAGCTTCAACATCCCTCCCTGGTATGTGAACTTTTGAAGATTAGTTTCTTCAAATCCTCCCCCCCCCTCCTTGGGGCAAAGATTGTGTTCAAATGCCCTACCCAATTTTGTTGCAAACAAACTGTGACTCTCTACAAATTAACCAAGTTTTAAAACCTAGACCTTGTAGACTTATTCTTCTAAGCCATTTGCTTACAACAATCAACCATTAACCTCAACCACCTCCATATTAAACGACTACTCACTGACAGGCGAAGTGAATATTGTTGAATAATCCCCTGGACGAATCCATGCACAAGGAGACTATTGCAAGATATTATACAATCCTCAAACAATAAGAGCATGCACTTCTCTATAATCGCTAGAGTAATTTTGATTTAAGAATATAACACTTATATTCTGCTCAAAAGATTTGACACTTCCAGTTCATATTCCCCATCCCAGCCAGGAGAGCTTCAAATTTCCCAGCCCCTCCCCCACCTCCCCCTGGCACAGATGAAGGGGTCAAACGCTTGTAGGTTGCTTGAGGGAAGGGACATTGAAGCTTCAAATTGATTTTAAGTTAATATTTAATTTCTAATTAATACTTTTGAATTTAAAAATTTAATGCATTATAGGATAGGATCAGGTGCCTGAGAAATTATTTATCCCCTAAAGGGAGTCAGTGGGTTCAAACACAGTAACATTAAATACCTGATCCTACCATTTAGCTTTATCTTAACCCTATAACTCCCAAGATCTGATTGTTAATTCTCTCCTCTAGCTGCTACACATTTCCTAGTAAACTGGTCATGAGAACTTAGTGCTAGATTAAGATAGCAGCTTCTACCTGATAGGTTTGAATATTCTCATTACCTGTTTGCTGAGTAATGTATGGATATTATAGGGAGAAGTTTAATGTTAATCACCTCTGGGAGTTAAAGGGTTGAAGCTAATGCTTAAGCAAATAAGCATCAATTTGGCAAGAAGTAGACTTAAAGATGCCACCCGTAATTACTTGCAAGTTTTTTGTGTTCCAATTTGCAATTTTCAGGATCAAAAGGAACAAATCAATGAGATATAATAAAGATTAACAGCACTGAGAACAATCAGTTTTGGCTAAATTAGTTAAGGTTCCTAAAAATTCAGAAAAATGGGAAAGCACATTGTTTCAGCTGATCAGAAGGTGTATCACTCAAAACATAATAATCTCTATATGAGTGTGGTGGGTTTCATAAAAATAAATTTTCTTGATCAGCTGCAGTATAGTCAGTTTGTTGTGTCTATAGTTTAAGGATATAAAACACATTATACTTTGAACCTCTATAAAATTAACATGCATCAAATGAGCAGGAAAAACTGGTCACAAAGACAATAATATGGAGCACTTTTTCTTTATGTATGCTCTCAGGGATTAAGATGTCCTGGATATCAATGAATGTGGGAGGTCTGCCTGCAAGACAGGGCCCCCTTAACTTTGGTCATTGTTTCACTGTGATAAAGCTGCTTTGGAGTCAACAAGAAGGAACAGTGCACATACAGTCTGTACTTTTAAATGTTGAAGGCCAGCCCCCTCTTCCAAACTGTAAGGTGTCCATAGGAAAATATACCTCATCAATTATTCTACTAAGAGCAACACCCTCCATATAACTGCATATAACCCTGCAAGTAATCAGAGGGCCACTCATCTATTTCAGTGGAGCACAAAAGTATTGTACCTTTGGTGTTATTTCTTGTTCCATTTTACTTGACTGGCTGAGAGGGTGGAATTCAGTGACTTTAATGGCTATTTTGACGCTTCCAGCAAATTCTTCCTTGGAATGAACAAAATCAAGTTTTAAAGATAACAATTATATCTTCCATTTATCTACTAAGGCACATCAATGCAAATAGTGTTCTTTTATTAATGTTATCTGATGATTTAGTTTGTAACCGGATGGCAACTCTCAGATGACGTGCAACATATGTAAACATAGGCATACTAAGCATGTAAGAGTTATTTTTTTGGGGTGGGTGGATTAATAGAAACGTTGTAAGTAATGTCTACATTTTTGCAAAAGGAAGGAGTATTAATGCAGAAAAGAATGAAAATGTCGAATTAACTCACACACAGGTATTTTGTGGTAGATTGTGTGTGTTGCACGATCTCTATAACCAAAAACAAAGTGTACATGTATTAATGCTGAACAGATACCACTCTCTATATGCTAACAAAGAGTTATTATTTATTTTTCTTTTTTTCAATCACTCAAAAAGTGTGACAAGCATTTTTTAACTGATCAGAATTTGTGCTCCATATATAGCCAGAGTTGACAGTTGCTGGCAAGATACCAATGAATTGTTATGATTTGGTGAAAGTCTGGTCGTAATAGAAAACAAGTTGGCTGGCCCAATTTCAGAATTACTATAAGTAACAATTTATGGCCATAAATCTCTTTTTAAAGTAGTTAAAACTTCTATGTTTTGTTTTTCCAAGAGAGGTCTCGAGGGAATTTCACCCTTTGTCCTTTGGAAATTGCACATGTATTGAACGCAATTTGAAAGAAAGAGGTCTAGCTCTATAGAATACTCTCACATGATGAATCATAGGAAGACAAAAAATATAAGCTAAAGAAGTCTAAAAAAATTGACTAATATGTGTGAACTTTACGTATCACTTGTTTCTTCTAGAAATACCTGTTAGGTGGGCTTTGTCCAATTTATGCGGTTCAAAGAACTAATTAAACACCTTTAACAATGCAGTTTGCGAAGTTTGATTATTAAAGTGTCTTTATTTCGTTTGTCGAACACGTTTGTCGAACACGATTCGATTCGACCGAAAGTTTGCGCGATTCTGTTCGATTTAGATCGCATGTGCCGGAAATCAGGGCCCGGAATACTTTGTCTAAATTGAGCACTAGATGTGTTATTTCTTTCACGAACAACAATTTCACGGAAGGTCAGAAAGGCTGATGCGGACAATATTCAATTAAAGACATTACGTACCTTCAAGACAGGTAACGGTAGGCGGAAGAGAGCGCTAGCTCAAACAAAAGTCATTTCCGTGTAGCCATGTTCCTTCCTTTATCCGTCCTCACTATCGAAGAAAATCTTGTACATACAGATTCTGTACGTCAACACACCAGACAGCGTCAAATGGTAAGATAAGATATCGAATTTGAGTGAATATTTCGTCACGCCTTTACTTGGAACCCACATCTGCTTTAGTCAGCACATTTCTGAAATCCCGTTCCAGGCTATTGCGGTTTGAATTGGGGGCCCGGTTCACTATCTCGTTCTTGTCACGTGACACGGCACTACAGCAGTCCCATTAGGCAGTTTTGGCTTTGCCAACCAAACTCAAATCAGAATCATTTATATTAGAACTAATTTCTCAATCCACTCTCGACGTCTCTCTTCCCAGTCATCTTTACGGTGAGATGGAAGTGGCTGTGAAGTAGTAACCCTTGTTAGCGGCCTGCACCACAACTGAGTTTTCAGAAATGTCTTGTGTCTCAATACAAATCATCTGCATCATGCATGTTCATTAGTTGGCGTCCTCATGAAAAACCACAAACTACTATCGGCTCCAAGCCACAAAACCATAACGCAAGCTAAAGAAAAACATAATTTTGCCGCGAAAATGATCACATGGCTACTAAATCATTCCGCACGGGATGTAGTATATGATGTGACATCACCTCCGCACAAATTAAATCAAGCGAAAGACACTTAAAACGTTATTCAAACGTTTATTCTGAGATTGAAAATACTACAAAATATGTTACAAACATAAAATTTGACATAAACTGGCAAACGCGACGACGAAGTCCCGTTAACGTCTTGAGCGCTCTTCTGTTGCTGGGAAATCACGTCACTACTGCAGTACGAATTAAACGAACAGAACAAGGATCTTGATATCTCAATCTTCATCTTCTGAGCTGGATTCCTCTTCAAGTGATTCCTGCAAGAAAACATAGGCAGGTCATGAACAGAAAGCAGAAAACGAGGACAGCCTCGAAATCCAGGAGAACTTTCCATCCTGTATTATGTGTCATGATGTTCTAGTTCTTTCGTTTAGTTACAGTTTACTAACCTTCGCGTATTTTTCAGCCGCTTGTGCGATATCTTTGGGTACCCACTCATGTTTACCATTGGTAACTGTAAAAAAGACATGCATACATACATAAAGTGCAGTTTTCATTAGATTACCGAAAGAAATTCGGTAATTGTATGAAAGGTATGTCCTTCAACCTCGCTCTGTGATTAGTCAGAACAACTTGTCATCTCATTGGTTCCTCTTGAAATTCACCTTTGTTCTGATTGGCTGATACGATATCTTGGTTAAAAAAAAAAGTGCAAAGGTACACTGTTAGACTTGTAGCCCTGACGCTTTGGGTGACTATTGTACCAATTTGTCCCAAGTACCACAAATTTGATGCTATAAAGTGAATGAGTGTCTGAGGGGCTTCATCGGTTTTCCTTCCTCTCGTCACTCAACTAAATTTGGGACCAATTCCTCAGACTTACAAAGTTGAAAGCGCATTGTGCTGGCTGTCATTCAAATGTGAGCCATGAGAATGGCAACAATGAAATCATAAAGAATACCTTCTCCTATCCAGCTTAACTCCAGTTCAAAGTTTTTGTCCTTGACTTCATCATGTACAACATATATTCTGCGAAAAATTCATGTACATATGTGATGAGGTAAATCATTGTAAGAATGATAGGATTGTAGACTTAAAGAAAAGTGGGAAACCAAAGCTTTTTTCATTTGACAACCGAGCAAAAATTCTCTTAAGCAAGTTGAAATACAGTGTTGAGTGCAATGGAGAGATGGCCTAACAAGTAATGGATGAGAGGTGGGTGGGCAGGGGCTTATTTCAAACATTTTTTTAAACCAAGAGTTCAGCAAATATTCCAGTGAGGCAATTCAAAGAACAATGCATTTGAGGAGGCACAGGGCATTTACAAGAAGAAAACAAATGAGTGCAATTTGAAATTCAAAAAATTCCACATGGTATTGAAAAAGTGAAGTATTTTCAAACCTAAAATAAAATTTCCAACCTACATTTTAGCAACTTCTTTCACTAATTCTTCACATGTCATATCTTTCATCTGTAAACAAAAACAAAATTCATAAATTCCACAAATACATGTATTACGGTAACCATACAAATATAAAGAAAAACACTCATAATCTGAATAAGTTTTTGGACAAGGATAATAAAAAGGATAAAATGTCGTAAAATACTGAAAAATCCACTAAGGTTACACAAACAATACAAAAGATGCCTGAAAGAACAAAAATTGACAAATATTAGAATAGAAGGGATTTGAAGTTTGACATGATATTCAGTCCAGCCAAAAAATTGTTCAAATTTTTATTAGATTACAGGTAGTTGTAACTGTTCATGGTAAAGCTGGGGAAAACCATCTTCATTAGGACTTGAAATAATTGGTGGTGAACTGACCTTAAGTTTTTCGATTTCTGTTTTTGCAGCTTGCTTTGCCTTCCCAACAGCACAGCCATGGAACCCCTAAAAATCCAGCCGAAAAAAAAAAATTAAAAAACAATTTGACCTTGTCATATGTTTTGTTTTTATGTTTACACTACATGTGTAATAAAATGCAGAAACTTTCAATGAAGCTACTGAGCAGTTAAAAAAATTAAAATTTATCAAACTACATGTTATATAATTAACATTCTCATTGAACAAGACATGAGGACAGACATTCCTCACCCATGATACTCCTGAGGGGTCTATCATAAAGAGCTCTGGTCCATCAGGTCCATGGGAACTTAACAGAACACTGTGGGAGAAAGAAAGGTGCCGATCATTCACAGTACAGCAACACACCAAACAAAATGCAGATTGTTCTATAGAAACATTTTTAAATGTTTCTAAGAAAATCCCAGCAGTATTTTTCAGGATCTTGGATTTTATCTACAATACAACAATTGGATTTGACAAACAAAAATAAGAACTGGGAAGCATGACACAAGAAAGTTGAGATCTGAAACAAAAGCTGGAAGGAAAAGAAAGTTAGAAAAGTACAAAAAAGCCAATTTGAGAGTTTTTTTTTTCATACACTACCCTATGTGGTAATGTGACTTCTTAGTACAAATGTAGATTGTTACAGATAAAGGACAAAATGCAAAATGAAACTATTACAAAGCATGTACATTGAGCCACTCACCTACAACCAAATGGTCTAACAGCACTGTACAATGTGTGAGCATGAATGTAACCTGACACTCTATCAACAAGGTACTGAAAAAAAAACATACAACATGTCAACAACACAAAAATTAACAGTGGGATGAATCAATGTGTCCAAACTTTATTGAGTACAAAGCAAGAATTCCCATTCAGTGCACTTCAGTGTTACTAATAGTACAAGAAAACAGCGAACTAAAGATGATTTTGATTATTGATGTGAAAATAAAAAAATACAATAAAAGGGGAAATGTTGAGAACAAAAATGTACTACATGAAGGTGGGGTAGGCCATCGTAAGTAATGGAGCAATATTTATAGTAATGTTTGGAAACACAAAACACTGATGTAAATAAACAAGCCAGAAACTTAAAAACATGAATGGTGTCACATCTGCCACTTTCAAAAATACTGTAGAGCCTGTTTGAATAACTTCAATGGTAAAATTACATTGAGTTCAATGATTTCATAGCCTTACTTTCAAAGGTATTGGAGATCCATAAGTTGATCTGTAATTGGCAGCTTCTTCTCTGGCAACACTAACAATCTTTAAATCAACAACAGAAATGTTTGTCAACAACCACCAAATTAAAATACATGTGGTCAACATCACTATATTATGTAAAATTTAAAAATTTACTTAAAGGTCTTTATAACTTGAGGTATAAGCAGTTTACCTCACAACTGATAAACCTATTCCTGTCAGATAATGTGACCTTCAGGAAAATTCACAACTTCTAAAATTTCACAAATCTATCAGAAGGCTTGTACAAAGTTAGTTCTATGATATAGAGATGATTTGTGTACATTAAAAAAATCTGTACATACTTGTCTTGCATCAGCTATCAATCCTGCCACAGCCTGTGGTGCAAAAACAAACAAAGTATACATGGATATCAAATACACTGAGCTACAGAACACAACCTGTACATACACAATCTGAATGCAAGCTGTTCACTAGGTATTGCTCTAAAATGGACAGCAGACTTGAAGTACAAATAAGTTGTCAGTCACAATATTTGTGTAAATCCATTTTACATGTTGAATTTGCCTTTGATATACTATAACTTTAAAACAAATTTCTACCCAGGTTTAGAACACAATGGGAATTGAGATCATTCTGGTTGATGGAAACTTTTTTGAGCAGGATTTAATTTTCACTGCAGTGTTCAGTTCACATCACTGAAGTCAATAAAGCCATACACATCAGCTAGCCTCACACTGATGACAGTAATAAATTGTGTACAGACAAAACATTGAAATTATATACAACTGTGTTTGAAATAAGCAATCATACTTTTATTGCAGTCTAAAATTTTTTATTCCAAAGTACATGTGTTTGTACTTTACTTACCATTCCAATGTGACTGTCTATATGTATGATTCTTTTGTTTGCACCATATTCGTACAATTTTGAAAGGACAAGCTTTTCAACACCAAACACAACCCCATCCTTTCCTCTGATGCCAACAATAGTTCTGTGGAGAAATACAGAACAGTCAATTTATTTTCTCTGAGTCCTGTTATTTCAATCTCTTCTACTACACACTTCACATGCAAGTCAGAGTAGATTTCTTAAAGTTACAAATATTTTTCCGATATTTCCAGTCATAGGGATGACTAAGTAAGGAGGATACAAAGTCATGTACCAATCCAAGTTGCCCAAATTTCCCGATAAAATTCCCAGATTTTTTAGATCTCATACAAATTCCATGATTCCAAAAGATGTTTGTTGTGCTGCATACATAATAAGCTTCGTTCACAAATTAACAGCTTATATTACTAAGTAAGTGATGTCACTTTTTCTCTTGTTCCAGCTCTTCCAATGCAACTCAACTCAAACATAATCTGGTATTGGGCGACATGTCAAAATATGAATTGTTCTTAAAAATTGTCTTGTTTCTCAAATTTAGGTGTAATAATTAACACAGAGACCTTTGGCAAAAAGGACATCAAAATTAGAAGGAAAAGAGGAAAAATTTTTTTTTCATCATAGTGGTATTTAAAAAGGGGTTCCTACAGAAAATAACATGTAGGTTTGCAAAAGGATATGCATATAGAGTGCATGCCAAAGTTCAAGATATCACACTATACAACCTACCCACTATTCTCCACTGCCTTTACAGCATATTCCACTTGAAATACTCTTCCATCAGGAGAAAACTGAGATGCAGACAAGTCATACTAGTAGAAGAAAGACAAAAACAAACACAAATGGTATAAACATTGTGAAAAGATTGAGAAAAGAAAGTTAAAGTTTAAACACTAACAGATGCCATCTCACAATCTGCAATCACTCTTTTGACTAAATGGCTTAACCAAATGTCTTCCACGTGTGAGACCTTACACTAAGGTGAAAAAATCCAAAATAAAGGAAATAAAACTTAAAATACTGCATCTTCCTCTTAAGAAAAGTTGTTGTTCCTGGATGCTTGTAGTATTCTGCATTCATCTTGTTTTGTTTGAGTCTAAGATTACTTTGGGAATCACAATTGAAAAAAAATTTGAAAATTGCACATTGTTTTCTAAAAAGTCCTGAGTCATGTATAATGAAAAACTAATCATTACTCAAGTAAAATCTATTAATAACCATCAATCAAAGGTAGGTTATTCTTTAAAGTACAAGTAATATGCCTTTTTCTCCTCAGATCCTGGCATAATTGTAACATTCAGAATTTTCCACTAAGATCAAAATTAATTTTCAAATAATTAATGTAATCATCATGAGTTACTTAGTGGTTTAATTCAAACTGTGCGAATTATATTATTTTGCCATTTCACAAGCAGCTTCAGTGTTTCATTGAAGAGATTAAATCCTATGGGAGAAAGTTTCTGCGTGCTTTGCTTAGCGAAAATCGACGAAAAATTGGCCGTAGATACAGTTATCATCTACAGCACTAGTAGGAAGGTGGTTTGAGACAACACTAAGACTGAAATAAAACTGTCAACATGCACGTGGATACTCTTTACGGAATTTATATCTCAAACCGGATTTAAAAGCCTTATTCGCTGCATGTCATTGTTTAATAGTGTATACTTCCACTTACCCCGGTTCCTATAGAGCTCATAGTCTAAAACGTTGCCCTTATTTTTTCTTCAAAGAACACTAGATCTCGAAACTCTTCTTTACAATATGGCCGCCACACGGGATACCGAGAGAAGACTAAGACCGATGACTTAGCAGTTTAGTACGCATGTCTCCAGTGCTACGAACTTCAGGGGTCTCCCTAAAGGTTCATTTTGTTTAGGAATGAGCACTGGGAGGTCTTTCACGTGCTTATTGTGGTCAATGTTTCATCATTCTTTTGTTCTTTTCCATATTAGGGCCACGATTTGACTTCCGGCACGTGCTTGGAGGTAATATCACTTGATCGTGGGATAGTACTGAAGAATAACAATCTGTACTCGATTGAACGGAACAGGTCGGAGCAGTTTCTAAACAGGTTTGTGACACTCAAATTCATTCATTTCTAGTCTTGCAGTTTACCTAGAGATGCGGATATTCGAAGTTTAGACGAGAAACCTGAGATACATCTGAAAAATTTCCATTAGCCAACCTTTTTTAACCCCTCAAGTCATTTAGTTAATGAACCGGAAATATTCGCTTCGTTGTTCTCAGCTGTTTCGAAAAATTTGATTACAATGCAGTTACAGCAGTGTTCATAATCCGACTTAAAACGCGCCGATTCCAGCCGAAATTTTCTCTTCCTAGTCGCTTCTTACGGTTCGATCATTGTCTCGCATTATTTGTTGCAAAAGTTTTCAATGGAACTGAAGTAGAGAATTCGAAGTCTCCAGATTAAAAAATTAATATTAAGGTTTTTTTTCTTGTAAACAATGCCTTCAATATCTTCAATCGAGATTACAGTGTGCTTCGTGCAGTGTGCTTTTGCGAGAAGACTAACACTATTCTCTTGGATTTTGTGTTTTGATTTTAAATTCTTACGCGTAAAATCTTAGGAATGAAGTTTTATCTGAATTAATATTGCCATTACGACTGATATTTTTCTCAGAGAGTACCCTCCTCCTTTAGCTCCAGTGCGATCGGTCGCTGCAACACCAATTGTTTTTCCCGGATTTTGGGATTTACGATTCGTTTACGAATTGCGATTTTCGTATCAAGGTTAATTTTTGTAAGGTAGGTAAGGATACGAAACAAAGAATTAACCGTAAGCGTACATTTAAACGAGGAAGGATTTGTAAGTCGAGAAACTCGAAGCCCAGGAAATATTATTAGTGCATACTTGCAGGAAGCGGAATCATTAAGGGGAAAAAAAAGTTTAAAACATAAAATTGGAGGCCTTTCGCTGTCGCCACGGTAGCCTTCTTGCACGCTTTGTACTTAGACTGGAGGTAAAAATGAAAGCAAAGGGGACAGTTGATTGTCAGACACTCGAGGAGTCTGGAGACTTGATGAGAAAATAGAAATGCAAAGTCATGGTTAGCGGGGATGCTTTTTTCTAGAAATAAATTTGTTTCCTCTATCTGAATTTTTTTTTTTTATTTTTCAAGGTCGAGAAGAGTAACGAATATTTTCCTCCTCTTAGTCAATCGTCCTTTACTTTCTTGCGGCGTTTTTCGATTCCTAAGCTTGGTATTGCGAAATTCGTGTTCGATTGTGCAATGCTAATTTCTGCTAGTGCCAATAAGAAGCGAAACAAACGCGATTGAAGATTTGATTCTTCATTATTTATGCTTGCGGTCTATACCCGTTCATACATTCATTTAATTTCCAGGAGACAAAAATTTTCATCTTATTTTTGTGTCTTTGAAATAACTTTATTATCGACAGAAAGTTTTGGGGCTTTGTTTACAATCACATTTGAACTCTCCCGGGAAACGTGCAAGTGTTAAGTATCACATTTCAGTTTTGCCCCTTCAATAATTTCTTTATTCATGCTTTACTCGACTTCCTTCCTAAACGCAAGGGAGATAAATAATGTTGAAAATGTCCACAAATTTATACCGAAGACTGAAACAAATTAATTTCTTTTTTTCTTGCCCAGACGAGCAGTAAAATCATGTGTTTACAAGTAGTATGCTTTGAAAATACCCCGTTGGGAGTCGTTCTTGTGCCGTAATTTCGACACAAGATTTTAAGATTGTGTAACACAGTATACTGTTCTAACAAGGGATTGGCTCGTGAAAATAAATTACTCTTATTTTTTCCCATATATTCGCAGTAATTGTAACCAGTGGAGTTCGCTTAGCAATAAATTCTGCGATATGAAATCACCTTTGACACCACGGACCTTGGAAATTTTCTACCAAAACAACGGTGGGAATGGCCTGCTTGATTTACTCGCCCCTGAAGTTTTCTACCAAATTATGGTTAATCTTGAGCTTAAAGACATCAGGATCTGCATGTGCGTCTGCAAAAAATGGAGGGTAAGTGGGCGAGTTTCTACAAATTAGAGCATTTTTCAAAGGTTCAAAGCAAAATGTGTAGTGTACACTTTAAAGATTTCGTTTCTTTTGCACTTAAATCAGTCGTAGATCATAGTAGGCCCTCCCCGTGACAACATACTTTATGGAGAGTACGGAATCAAGCACTGTTTAATATAAATGTTTCCAGAAATTTTTTCCAGCATTATAATTTTATAATTTTATTGACGCGGGAAGGCATGGAAAAAGCCCTCCATAGTTCATCTTACTTTTGGTTTTGTTTTGCTGTTGGATTTTTTTTTTCACAACCGTCGTTATTCTCTACTGTGTGAGACGCGGAAATTTTTAACTAAAATCCCAAGTTTACACTTTTATCTTCTTCATTTCAGCTACTCTTGTCCACGGGATACTTCTGGAGAAATTACATGAATCATTCGTTTGACTTTACGGATCAAGACGAAGAGAGACTCACAGGAATGTTGCACGAGCTCGGTAGCTCGTGGTTCTTCGGCTGGGGACAGGGAATGGTGCAGGGATTACCCGACGGGGATTTGTTCGAGGAACTCCCAAGGCGCTGGAAATCCGGTATCGTGCACCCGGTTGGACCGGATGTCCGAAGTAAAGTGCCTGATTACAAGGCCATGTACGAATCACTTCATCAGCTGCAAAAATTGCAAGATGAAGTGAACGAAAGAGAAATTGTTTACAGTAAGTGTCTGTTCTATTTAACTGTGAATTGTGAAATCGTAAACTCTTTTAACCACGCTAGAAGTTCATTTGGTCAAAGGAAGATTGAAGAAAGATTTACTGAACCTTTAAAATTTTACGAGAAGTAATCGTGCAAACTTGAAAACGGAGCAAATTTTCTTTATCAAAAAAACGTGATAGGGTTCGGGCTTGTTAATACAATACGAAGATTCTGTTTGTCCGTATGCCCGTCTTCAGCAGTTAAACTATTTCATATTCCCTTAATTTGAGGTTTATTGTAATAGAATTCTCAGCTCATTCCTCATCAGCTATGATGCTCTCCTTTTGCCTCAACCCTTAACTTCCATGAGTGACCAAGACAGAATTTCTCCTTACAATATCAATACAATATCAACCAGATATGTGATGAGAATAAAGAAAAATATCAATTTGGGAATAATTAGTTGATCTAATGCTAAATTCTCTGAACTAACATTCTAAGAATTGTATGGTTGACAGTAAGGAGGATGATAAATTTGATCTGGGAGTCAAAGGGTTAAGATTAATTGTAAAATTCGGTAGTAATTTTGTAGAAGAGCCTGTTCCTTAAGGTCTTTTTTCGTTTGTTTTAATTTTTTTTTATTTTGTTTGTGCTGCTATTTGGTGAGGGTTTCCCAAATTAAATACTTTTGCTTTGTCAGTTTCACCTTAATAGATAAGTGTATCAGTGCATACTAAGAAGCCACACCGCAGATGCCGAGCACCGTGCCAATTCAGGTACTACGGTCCCCCCGGCTGGCGGTAATCAGTGTACAGTAAGTGAACATGCCTTCAGGCTTACAGCAAAGTTTTTTACAGGGGGTGGGGGGGGGAGGGGGAAAGGGGGAAGAGAGGAGGGAAGAATAATTTCAAAGGGGGTAGACTGTAGACTATAATATGGGATTTGTTATTGGTGATTAAACATAGGAACATTGTGTATCTACGGCCGTATGGTCGGACCGACGAAAGAGACCTTCTTTCCGTCGGTGGTTACTAGAAGTTAATCGATTTTGTCTTACTTTGTTTGTAGAGTATCAGAGCAGTTTTAACTAGTATTCTCCGATGATTATGCTCAGTCTCTCCGAGAAAATCGCGGTCGCGACTTGCTTTTAGGCGCGTTTCCTCCTCGCCGTGCTGCGTTTGCAGTTCAGATCATGCGCGACTGCATGGGTTTCTCAAATTGTGATTGACAAATTGTAGTGCTTCGTTTTCAGCGAATGGGACTAATTATTGCGTGCCGCTATGTTGTGTAACTTAGGTTAGTCTCACGGCCTTTTACTTGTCATTCGGGATTTTCTCATCTTTCTTTCACATCTTTGAGAATTCCTCGATTTCTGACTTCAATTTGAATGTAACTGAGTTTCGCACGAAACTTTGCAAATTTTCGTTCCTCAGCTGCTATCCTATGCAGCCGTTTTTTTGGGATGTCATTAAAGAAGGTACTTCTCTTTCACACTATGCTGATTTTCTTCCGTCAATTTTTTTTATCAGCTGGTTCCTTAGAGAATAGTGGAGAATGCCCGGTTGATATGCTGTTATTCCCCTGGGAACATGACAAACTACCTTCTCAAGAGGAGGTCATGGAGATTTTCCATTTGAATACAAATCTACGGTTAAATGTCACTTACGAGAGGTCAGAGAAAAGCTTCGCGGAAGGAAAAGAACTCGAAAGGATATTCAAGTGCCGAAGGAAACTGCCAAGCGAGAGCATTTTCTATGAAGCACTTCCCAAGGTTTTGGACGATGGGTAGGTTAAGGAATCTTACTACACGGTTTTTCTTTTTGTGTGTGTTTCAGTGCTTTCAACACAGGGTTGGAATTGCGTTTTTCAGTCAAGCATTTTGACATGGAAAAGCTCCGCCATGTGTTCAACTACGAACTGAAAGGAGCGGAGCAGCGATAACATGATGTTTTTTTTTTTCTTCGAACAGATTTATAAAAGTGCACGTCGATTATCAAGGTCGTTCTAACACGTTCAGACCTTGCCCAGTCTTCATTCTTACCCAGCTCTCGCCCGGTTGGTGTGGAGGTGTTTTGACAGGAGTGTGGTAACGAGCAAGAGAACCCTCGGT